ACTGTCATTTATAAAAGATACAATTATGTTAATAGCTGCATGTGTGTGTTTTAATTATAAATTATAATTGTGTGTAAGATAAGATTTTATTGTACCTAAACATCCATTAAGAGGACAGCATATACATAAATAAGAATCCATTACAATATGACAAATAATATAATTTTCATAACAAGAAAAATAGTATACAAATGTATGTCAATAACCATAAATATATATGTACATAAGTATAGATTAGAAACAGCATTTGATAGTGTTCTATATAGCATTTTGTAGTGTTCTATATAGCATTTGGTAGTGTTCTGTATAGAATTTGTTAGCGTTGTGTTTTGCAATTGTTTTATGCAAGATTTAAAGATATGTGAATTTATCTTGATCAATTATTGCTTTTGATTGAGAGATTATAGGATTTTAAAATCAGTTAAGAATATAATGTCAAGATGTCTGTACACATATGGTTAATTAAAATGAAATGGGGGGTCAACTTTTATGTCCTACTTGCTAATGAAGAAAGGCATATGCTATGCAGTATGCTATGAGGAAATTTTGGCCGGACAGCTGTACCATGGCCTACTTTTTAAATTCCAACTGCACATGACCTTATTTTTTTCGTACAATCTGAACAACTAGACACTGTTTCGTGTTAGATCCTGCACCACTTACAAGGGGAAACCCACGAGGAACTTTCTTGGCCAATCCTCGGATTGAATCCAAAGTAATGAATGGGAGTGGTTTAGCTCATTTAAGTATATTTATGTATTTAATTGTTTCTTATATTATTACACACTGATCAGCAGTAAATATTCACTTGGCCGCAAATATCACCGATTACCGCTGTGAATCAGTTTGATATTGTTATGCTAGTGTTAGAACTTTATAAATTGAATAAATCTGTCTTGATTGCTTATTGACATGTAAATTGTTTAATTGAGATATTATGATTTTCTTAACATCAATAATGTAATTACATTAATATCTTGTAGGTACATTTATATGATTTATTTATTACATGTCAGAAAGTACAAATTCTTTCTAGTATAATGTACGGTTTTAGTCAATTCGTGATCAATAATAATTATAAATATATTCTGCCGTTTTTAATGTTTTAAAAACATCTGTTGTAGTGAATGTATAACATGAATTGATCATTACGATTGTTCAGCTGAGCGGAATATAATATTAGTTTACAAGTTGAGGATCTACAATGGCTGTAAATTTGATATGTTGAGTTTTTATACCTGAGGAATATGTTACACTTATGTTTACCTATATGTGTTTATCATACATGCCAGGGATTATAAGATATAGATTGCCCATATTCAGTTTGTTTTTACTGTGAAGGAAGGGTTAGATTTTCACCTGTTGAGCTAGATATTTTGTGTAATATGTATGTGCATCTTTTGTTATTTTCCGGGGATAATATAAAAGGATTAAACGTATAAAGTAGTAAGTAGAATATTCATGAAATAACATTTACAACACTTTGTGATTAACAGCTACTTACAGGGCTATACTATATACCGGAAAACACCGAAAAACACCGGAAAACAACCGGAAAACTACTGGAAAACACCGGAAAACTACCAGAAAACACCATGTTATACTGAATACCGGAAAACACCGGAAAAACACTAAATACCGGTATTCAGTATAAAATGATGTTTTCCGGTTGTTTTCCTGTGTTTTCCGGTATATAGTATTGCCGTACTTGCATGTTTTCAGTTCTTTAAAGCTGCTAATATCCATTTGAGGGATTTTGAATCTAGTGCAAAATGCTATATTGCGAAAGTTGAAACTTTAAAAGCCCAAAAATTGTTTTGATTTCATACAACATTTAAAAAGATAATAAAAATTTAAAATTTCGCAACATTCAGCATTCTGTGCAGATGTTATAAACGAGCCAGCTCCACTTATAAGTTTTTGCTTAAACTTTTTGATGGGCCTCTTTTTAATCCAACTGAATCCAAGCCAGGAGATTATCTGCCGTTGATATTTTTGGGTTTGGGTTTTTAATTAAATATTATATAATGAATTAGCCAGAAAATGTGATTGATGATCAGTGGCTTCAATAAGCTAATGAGTTGAAAAGAACCATTTAATCCCAGTTTTTGTTTTCAATTTGTCTGTAAGGATACTGCATTATGTTGCATTATTAAATTGGGTCTGTGCATGCTGAGTGTTGCTAGTGGAGAATTACCTATGGTGGGTGGACCTGGGGGCCCATAGAAAGTTGCTTTATTTCCAAAATGTGTTTATAATTCTGTGATTGATTTAAACCATCACAGTCACTGAATCAACTCTGCTTTCCACTAGGACACATGAGAGACTTTGCAATTTGGCATTAATTACTTTAGTACAGAAAAGGCATGTAAACAACAAATTTGATCAAAGCTTACTGAACAAGAAATTATTTGACATAAATTGATGAGCATTCAGTGATTTGAGATTGTACTTTTTGTGTTTTGTCTATATATTATATATAGTGGATTCAAATCAATAAAACATTTTTTACATAATTCGATTTCTGTTTGAACATAACCTATTTTGACAGGGGTCCTCATTTGCTTAAGTGTGCCAGGGCCCCCCATGTGTTTCCCAAAGTATTGCACTTTAGTTTATAACGTTTAATAATGTCTTATAAAGAATGTTGAATATGATTATTATCAGTTCATACCATCTTGAAGCCAAACAGGTATATCAACAACTAATGTATGTTAACAGACATGTCTGACAAATTTACTTATTTTGCCAGAAGCAAAAATACCTTTTAATGTCGAATTCTGCTTTTTACAGTAAAGCCATACAGAAAATGTCCTTATTGAGGGCAATCCACCTTATATGCAAAACTACAAATTAGGAATAAATATGATCACTTTACGTTCTAGTACTTGTGGCCATGGGTTGGGTGGTCGAGTGCTCTAAGGCATGCACTTTAGATCATAAGGTCTGCCATTGAGTCAAGTTGCGTGGTTTCGATCCAAAGCTTGCATGTGACAATGAATATGGTCACCTGCCAAACCTTGTGATCTCTCTCTCTCTCTCTCTCTCTCTCTGTTAGTTTTGCCAAATATTTTTACAATTCAGCAGTTTTTAATAACACATATTGCATTTGTTCAAATAAATGTAAATTTGTCTTCACCTGTATTTGAGGTAGATATTTGACTCTGAGGAAATACAGGGGAAATATTTTTATACAAATACGATAACATTAAACTGAAGACAATCCTAAATAAAAAGCCATTAAGATTGAAAGTGATGATTATGTATATATTTAAGATAGCTCAGGGCTAATTTACTGGGGCAAGTAAAAGTTTTTATTTATACGTAATTTTTCTTTAATCTGTAGCACACACCATGAATTTGTTTTTAAAGGTAGGCTTGTTATAATATTAGATGAATTGATATGAAATTATTTTATAAGACTGCAGTTAATTAAGTTAGTAACAGTTTTGTTGGGTTTGCAGGATGTTATAACGTAGTTTGTAACAGTTTGGTTTTGTTGGGATTGCAGTGCAGGACATTTTTGACATAAAAAAAAACATCAGGTGCATTAAAAAACAATAGCTACAGATGGCCAAATATTTCTGCAAATTTATGAAATTGTGAATTTGTGACTTATATGAGATCTGTGATAGCAAAATGAGTTGGAAATTGCATGTCTTTTACGATATGAATAAAAATGTTAAAGATACTTTATGGGAGATTAGATAAAGAGCTAGCAGTTCTCACTATAATACTTAAAAACTAGATAATGTAAAGGGAATTTGCTGAAGATTTCAGTTAAATTGATCCACTCTGAACCGAGAATTTAGCGATTGAATTTTAGGTTTAGCCTCGATCATCATTACTAAAGTCGGTATAATAAAAAACATAGTCTCGATTATCCATTTTATGATTTAATCATGAATGAAAGTTGTGCAGCCAATGTGATCCTAATCATTAAATATCACAGGCTAACGATGACATCGAGAGTTGATTATGGTCTGGATAAGTTAATTAATGCCTAATTAATAATTTAGATAACATTTCAGGCCTTAAGAAAGTACTGCAATAGGCAGATTTAGCTCTTGCATAATGTATGTTTAAAATAGGCTAAAAATATCTTTTTAATGATATAACACGAAATGTAAAGTTTAGATTAACAAAAACTTTCATGCCAATGTTCTGCATTGAACTTTGCCACTTGGTGGAGTATTTTCTAAACTGAAGAACTCACACTCACTTAAAGTTGCATGTAAAAAAAAGGTTCCTCAAACCAAAAAAGCATTAAAATTACATTTGTATTTATCTATTTGAATGAGTTTGTGGTCAATTTTTTTTATTAAAGAATGTATTGAAGGAAGTTTAATTATGTCCTGGATATACTTTATTTTTTTGTTTTAATGAGTTTGTTATTTTGTTATTTGTCTGTTTGAGTTTGTTAGCATTTGGTTATTTTTCTGTTTTAAATAGTTTGTTGTCATTTGTTTATTAAAGAATGTATCGAGAGAAGTTTAATTACATGCGCGATATATTTTATTTATCTATTTGAATGAGCTTGTTATCGTTTGGTCATTTAAGAATGTAACAAGAGAAGTTTAATTATGATTGGGATATACTTTATCTGTTTTAATGAGTTTGTTGTCATTTGTTTATTCAAGAATGTATCGAGGGAAGTTTGATTTTATTTGCGATATATTTTATTTATCTGTTTGATGGGTTTATTATCTTCTGGTTATTGACGAATGTATTGAGGCAAGTGTAATTATATGCAGGATATACTTTTTTCCATTTGAATAAGTTTGTTGTCATTTTGTTATTAAAGAATGTATCGAGGGAAGTTTAATGAATTAAAGGCAGTTCAGGTACAGGCAGATGTCGTCATATAGAAACATGATTTGTAATATAAGTTACCAAACAACATTCTGTCTCAATGTTTAGCTGGGCTTGCTAAGGCCAGTACAACTTGTTCTAGTACAATCAAAGCAACCAATTAATTTCACTCATCTTTGATATTTCAGACGAGACTTCAAAGTTTTTCGAAATGGGATTATTAGAGCTCAGGCCCAGTTTCGTATGCGAAGACAGAGACGCAAATATCTACAGGTAAGCTTGAACCTTATCAATTTATAATTTCTTTTAATCAAACTTTGACCTGTACAGAAATCTGAATTTTTCCATTTTCAGTTTTTGAAGTCGGTTTATTTTTATTTTTAAATATTTCTTAAAGAATTTATATAAAAGGAAAACCATTATAAACAAACTAAATTTCTCTTTTTAGTGTTTTTTATGTCAGTTAAGTTATGTTTTTAAATATTTCTAATAAAATTTATATGAAAGGAAATCCATCATGAATAATACAAACTTCTCCAAATTTAGATCTTTTATTAGAAATTAGTTTACTGAATTTGATTATCTCTTTTCTTGTTTGTTGTAATCAAAATTATCTCATCCATCAGCTTTTAGCAGAATTAAATTGATGTAAAGAAAAAATAAAATGTTTATAAATTTGTGAGCCACAAAAGATAAGGAATTTGGGCACCAAATAATCACTGAATGTTTCTTAACTTGATTTTTATCCAAATATTCATTGATGGAGTTTGTCATAATTAGAAGATTTTTGTATTGAAATGAAATAGAGTTTAATGTCCTATTTTTGTGCTCCATTGAGGCTATTGATTTCCTAATATTAAATTTGAATAATGTGAATCAAAATAAAATGGGTTTCAATGTCCTACTTTACCACATCAGCCAGGCTAATAAAAAATGCACATACATCATGCAGTGTGCTTTGAAGAAAATTTTGACCAGATTGCTCCATGTGTGTCATGGCTACTTTTCCTGGAATATCTGATATTACTTGTCACTGGGCTGACAAGTTGGCAATATTTTGACATTAGAATTCAATTTTTTGAAGTTGTTGCAAGAATTTTTTTTTTTTATTCTTGTAGAAATTAGTTAATAGGCTTTGTTGCCCCACTGTGTTAAACTAATATTAAGTGGAAGAGAATTTCACCACACGTAAAAATTAAGTACATATCTAGAATACAAAACACAACTTGAAACAAAACCCCAGATATTAACACTATCAAATCAAGTGCCTTCTTTTAAAAATGTCAGTGGTGCATTACTGAGAGCCTGACAAGTACAGCTGTATAGTTGTTTGGATGGGATAAAAAAAAACCAAGGTCCCGCGTACACATTGGCATGCACGTAAAAGATTCCTGGGCAGATGGAATTCGATATAAGAGTAGGCCGTAGTGGCACTCACTGTCCGGGCATAATTTCCCTCATACTCATAGCACACTGTATGTCGTATGCCCATCTTCATTAGCTCAGCCGGAGCAGAACAGTAGGATGTTAAACCCCATTGCATTTCTTTTCATTTAAAAATGTAAACAAAGTTAAATTATAAGAGGATTATCATACAGTTCTTATATTTATGTTATTTCAATAACTAAGGAGTTCAGTTTAATTGAAGTTTCATTTCTTGAAAGTAACTAGTAATTAGTGTACAACTTTAAGTGCAGTTTAGTTCTGTTTATATGCCAGTCTTGATGTGTCATGCGGGTTGGATGGTCGAATTGTTTAATGTGTGCATGTTAGAAGATAAGATCTGTCATTGAGTCAAGTGGCACGGTTTCAATTCCTTACATGTACGTCACAAGGAGTAGGGTCACTTGTTCAACTTTGTGGGTTTTTCTCCTGGCCCCGAGTTCACAAAGCATTCTCAGACTCAAGTTAAGAATTTACTCAACTTTCAATCACTGTTTATGAGAAATAACTTTCATCCAAAAACATAGCACATAGTTTCTTATTGATGTACTTGATACATTAAAACAACAAAAGTTTCATAAAGGGCTATATTTTAGTTAAAATAAGGTGAACAATTTTGAGTAAATTCTTAACTTAAGTCTGAGAAAGCTTTGTGAACTTGGGGCCAGGTCCTCCGGTTTCCTCCCAGAGCAAATTTCAGACTGAACCATATGTTAGCCCCGAAATTACCTAGTTTGTGTCGAGTGGATTTTAATCCCTGTCTCTCTCTCTACAATTAAAGTGCAGTGTAATTAAATGGTGTAAGATAACCATCTATGTAACAAATAATAAAGGAGGATATTAGATTTGATAAAATCAACAGTTCTATTTTTCACTCAAGTCACATGATCACATCCTCTATGTTGTTGTGTTATGAATATTGTTTTAATGTAATGACAAACCTAGAGTCACATATATAGGTGTGTACTTATATATATATAACTTTTAATTTATCTTACTATTTGTACAGATATGACGCGTCTGTTAACTGATAGAGTAATTGGTATAAATCCATGAGAAAGTAGGGTGGAGTACCTACAGATTCACTTAGTAAAACCTGTTTCATAAATACAATGTACAGAAGAAAAAACTGAAATCTTTTATAAATTTAAATTGATGAAGGTTTTGGTCAACATAAAAAGGAGATCATCAGTCTTCCTCATTTGTCATATTAAAGGGTGTATAGCTCTATTCTTTGGAACATTATAATAGACCAATATGAGTCTAAAAGCACATATTAATGTAATATGGATGTATACATTCAATTGTTAAAAGAAAAATTGTAATTTCTAATCAATTATGTTCAGTGAAATATGTGAATTGTCCAAATTTAACAGCAGCTGCTCTTGCCTGCTTAATCCGATCTACACGTTTTTTAAAAATTATTTTGTCGTTCATGAATCGGCCATTACTAATTACTACCATATTGTCTTTAGGGTATGTTTTTCTTTGTTCATTACAAATGCCTAGAGTACACAGTGTTGTGTACTGATTTTAAAATGTTCATTGTGTCTTAAATGTTGGATAATGAGTTAGAGGTTCAGCTCCTTTAATGTCAATATATAGGGACATACATAGATATACGAAGTAACAGGGTGTGGTCTCTATGATAAGGTGGAGTCGCTATGACAGGGTGGAGTCAGAGTTAAATAGTAAGTGAAGGTGAACCACATTAAACACAAACAAACAGGGTGAAGCCAGAGGTCAATAGTAAATGCAGGAGAACTGCACCATACACAAACAGAAATCCAGAAGACAAACTCCATGGACAAGATGCATGCCATATAATAATAATTTTAAAGAATCCAACCTTCAAACACAATAAATACATTTAGAATTATGGTTTAATATGCAAAAACATCTAAAATATGTTTAAAAAATAGTATAATGCAAAAAATTGTCACATTCTTTAAAAAAAATATCTTGCTAATCTGATTTAAACAATAGACATCAAAAATTGAGTGTGAAAGCCTTAATGCAGAAGTCTTGTTCAATTTGATACTTCTGTTGTATACTGTTTATATTTTAAAACCAGGTACAAGATATTTGAGATTGTTTAGAAGATGATATGTCAAAAGCTGCTTTATTTGCTTTTATCCCACATTCATGTAACTTATTGAAGCATGGGGATCTAGTGGTATCATATGAATAACATTATAGCTATACTGTGTGCTTATAGCACAATAAAAAAGATTATTAAAATTATCCAATTTCTTCTGCATAAGTAAATGTATATCATAATAATTGTATATTAAATGAATATCAAATGATTTGAACTGGATATTCAGGATGTACCAGTTATTCACAGATCTAGGTAACCTATTAATGTTCCTTACTTAAAAAAGATTTCTTTTTTGAACGAAATCCAGTTGGTTATGCATAGATTGAGGAAGATTTAAGGGCTTATAATATAATATGCAAATGTATTTAAATAGTTACTTACAAATATAGGTAACCTTTTAATGTTCAATACCAATTGAACATTTCTTTTTTGAAATAAAACCCCAGTTGGTTTTGCATAGATTTAAGAAGGTTTAAGGGCTTATGATATAGTATGGCATATTATGTATTTATTTATCGCATTACTCACAGATATAGGTAATCTATCAATGTTCCATAATTGTTCTTTTTTGAATGAATTGTGAAGATTTAAAGGCTTGTAAAATAGTATATGGCATATTGAATGAATTTTTATAGATACTTACAAATATAGCTAACCTATTGATGTTTCATACTTATCGAAGATTTCTTTTTTAAAATGGAACCCAGTTGGTTATGCATGGATTTGAGAAGATTTTAGGGCTTATAGAATAATATATAGCATATTATATGTATGTATTTGTGATTTCTTCCTGCTTGATTTGATATTATGTTTGTTTATTCAAACTGATAAAAAGATATGCATATCCGTAAATAAATCTTAATGGAAATTCTGGCTATGTTATCAATGCATGGGTATTAGGTTTTTTTTTCTTTTTTCAATATTAGATTTACAAAGCGATCGCATTTGATCAGGTACATGTTTTGTTTCTTATTCAGACTCGTGAAGAAATTAGAAGAAAATTGGATCAAGAGAGGTTGTTAAGGAAGAAACAACAACAAGAAAAAATGCAGCGTGAGCAGCAGGTAAGATTGATGACATGGTTGACATCTTGCTCATAGTTGTTTGATTGGATACATTTCTCTTTGACATATTATCTTAATTGATACACACCAGTATTATATATTCAAGTACTTCTATGTTTACGGGGAAGATAAATACATAAATGAATAATAAATATGTCCAGTTATAAAAATCAACCATGTTCACTTCATTCTGATGTACATCAAATCATATGCTAGATGTCTGGTCTTACCTCAGTTTTGTTGAGAGAGACAAATGGGGTTTAGAATCCACTTAGGTTATTTCAGGACTAGACTAGATTTCATAGTCTACTACATGTATATCAATGTCTCTGAGATAAATTGCATTATTGAATAAAGCAGTAATATCTGAATGAAATAGCCCCTAAAGCTGTGCTACAGATCTTGAATCTACTATTAATGCAGTCATCTGACAGTGGGCTTTACTCTGTGTTACTCCCCAAATGACCTAATTGTGTCATTTCTCTGTCTACCATATGCTACTATCAAAGAAATCATTTCTTTCAAGCTAGATGTGAATTTATGTTTATTGTTTTGTTGATAAATTGTGATGTTTTTAATGGTGTTTCATGTGCCCAGCATATTAAGTGTGGTATAAGTATATTTTTATTTGTAGGAGAAAGCTGCTAAAGCTGCTGCAGCCAATGTTACTAATCTAGATATACCAGGAGAACTGGCTTTTGTATTTAGTAAACTAGAGGGTAGGTGGTGATTAATTACTGATTATATTCACGATGACATCACCCTAGTATTTAATCTGAATGAAAGTTGGGTTAATTATAAATACACTTGAACTAAATATATTTTATATGTCATCAGACCTCCGTATTGAACATCCCTAAACAATTGGTGTCATCCATAGCCATATTATTTGTTAATTATGATTTAATTAGGTTTAATTTCTCAAGCGGTCTGCTCTTAAGCCACGCCTCATAGGTGGCACTGTCTAGTTCACCATACCTTTTATAGAGGGTAATTTCTTCTTGTCTGCGATATCACTTCTGTGGAAGCAGATGTTAAAGCATCAGGTAGTAGTAGTAGGTAGGAATATGGTTTTGTTCCTTGGCACTACACGCTGTGAGCTCAAGCAAATGCCAGCTCTTACTTAACCATCATAGATTCTTGTATGAAGGTCCGGAAATAATGATTTTATTTGTAGCTGTATTGCTCCACAGAACAGTGGCAGATCCAAATAGGGAGACCTATTTTTGAATATGCAAATTCGTTTAGAACTTCTAGCAGTTTACGCTCCTGTACGTGCAATATTAATAAATAATGCCCACTGTTTTTATCTGGCTATAACACCACTTACTGTTAATAAATTTGGTAGTCTAACATTGTATTTGAGAAATGTGAAGCTTTATTACAACATTTATTAAGTTTTAAGATGACAGTAATATAGTATGTTTTATCTCCACAGAGACTGGATTTGGTTGTTATTAATAAATCAATAACAATATTACTATTTAATGAATTCTTACTGTATATTTTACAGATTGGCAACTTGTACATAATTCTAAACATGTTATTACTGCTGTTGGAGATGTCCGACCGATGGATATGGGGTATAAATTACCTGTTGATATTAACTCACACGTCTTCAATAAATTCACTGGAGTTTATTTCAAGGTATTGTCATTTTTATAGTTGATTCTTAGACAGCTGTTGCTGAGAACAATATTTTATTTGATCCCTACCTTACCCTGACAAAAATAAAACCCAACCCCCAAAACATGTCCTGTGTACAAAGTGCATATTGGTGGAGCAATTAAAATATTTGTTTCGAATGAAATTTGTAAAATTTTGACATCATGCCGTTGTTTAGACAAAATTGTCATGGCGTAACCTTTCCAGAGCGTTGATTTTATAGTGTGCTAGTGTTATCAATTTTTGATACAAACTGTTCCAACCTGACATATTATGGCCAAGATGAAACCCAAACCCATGCCATAAATGTGAATCAGTTTCCATTTGGTCAACAATTTTTTTTATTGCCATATTTATTTGTTTAGCGCCTGTTTTTGTTTTTAGCTATCTAGCTAATTACACAATATACATATAATTTCAAGATTGATAATATTCATTTTTTTTTTAAAGGATCCATCATGGGGTGTTAGAAATGAACCAATTAAGGCACCTCTCTCAAATACACCAGGAGAAGATGTATTCCACAAATCTATTTCCGTCTTCAAGTTGGTTAGTATAATATCAACAATTTTCTTTACAACAGTTCTTCTCTATGAATATTGGTTTGATAAAATTAATAACCTGAAAATTTAATCAAAGCAATAAAAAGACATAATATCAGCTTATAGATATCAAAATTTTGAAATATGTAAAAATTTGCTGTGTACAGATATATAAAATATATTTTATACAAATCTTAATTTCAGATACTAAGATTTATGGATGATGAGAAAATGTCCGAGAAGAGACAAAAAATGGTGTCTGATTATATTGTCCAAATGGTAAATATAGATATTTTCTACTCAATAATTTCTAATCTTTAAAAATTAGGATCCACCAACAGATTTTGGGACAAACTGTTGTTTTCAAGCTAACCAGTAGGTCTCTTGTTCACTCCTGGTGTTGACCCAGAAAGTTTCTCAAGATTTTCCAGCTCGGCTTCCAGTGCAGACGGAGAGCCTGACAAGGACTAGTGTCTAGTCATTTGGATTGAATGATAAATAGATGCCTTGTGTACATGTTGCTGTGTATTGAAAAGAACCCTTGGCGGTTGGAATTTGAAATAAGTGATGGCTATTTTGCTCCTCTCTGAGGAAAATTTCCCTCATAGAACACTACCCGCCTGTAGAATGTTAAACCCCATTTCATTTCCACCAATCAAGTTTGGGACAGATTGTTGGTTTTGGAACAGTGACATGAAATAGGGGAAGGGTAGTAAGGCTTGTTTAATTAAACATTGCTGGCTCAGTGAATTCATATGAAAAATTAAACATTTCAGATATATTATATTTTAACTTTATTTATATTGAGCATGAATAAAAGAAAATTAAAGTGGACTCATTGAATTTATAATTGTTGCAAATACATTTACAATGTAAAAAAAAAGTGGTTGTTTTCCTTTTTAAAGTGTTGATATATTTTGTCAGTTTTCTTATTATTTTTTTTGTAGGGCTTGCAAAATGAAGGATTACGTGATGAACTTTATTGTCAGCTTATTAATCAAACCTGGAAAAATCAGAAATTATCAGCCGTAGAGAAAGGCTGGTTGTTAATGGCTATGTGTCTCAGTTGTTTTCCGTCTAGTTCAACTTTATTTAAATATCTTCTCAAGTAAGGATGATTTTTTTGATTTTTTCCAAATGTGTTTTTTCTTTAAAGAAAAGTAATCTGCATTTGTACCTAAGACATATTCGTGCAAAATCACAAATTTGATAATAAATTTGATTGGTCAATATATATGTTTTAAATGTTTTTGTCATCTGTATGCAGCTTGGTTCACAGATTTCATTCTTTAAAGGAGCTAAACATCTAACTCAATATAAAATTTTCCATACACAAATAAGAATTTAATATTGGTCCATTTCAATCAATATTGATGTTCTTATCTTGGGCTTCTGATATCCAATATTTAAGATGCAAACGACTGCCAATCAATTTGCACTGCTTGCATATTTCTCAAACATAATTTAATTGATTAGAAATAAGAATAGAATTATAAAAATTTAATGTAAATCAGTTTATATACATTCATATTATATCAATATGTGCTTTTCGACCCATTTCTGTCCATTTTAGGTTCCAAAGAATAGAGACTAGCTCATTTAAAATATTTGATTTGGACTTAAATTTTGGCCTTATAAAGATTTTTTGTCCCCCGTCTTTCGAAGAAAGCAGGGGACTATTAAAATGGGTTCGTCTGTCTGTCTGTCTGTCTGTCTGTCCGTCTGTCTGTCCGTCACACTTTTTGGGACACAATAACTCTCTTCCTAATTGAGCTAGAAATGTTCAAACTTGGTGTATGTGTTTATTAGGTCAATGCCTTGATGGAGTTCGAAGATGAGCATTTTCCGCTTAGGGTAAGCAGAGATAAGCAATTTGATTGGTTGATGCTTTGGGACACGATAACTCTCTTCCTAATTGGGCTAGAATGTTCAAACTTGGTGTATGTGTTGATTAGGTCAATGCCTTGATGGAGTTCGAAGATGAGCATTTTCCGCTTAGGGTAAGCAGAGATAAGCAATTTGATTGGTTGATGCTTTGGGACACGATAACTTTTAATTGAGCGAGAATGTTCAAACTTGGTGTATGTGTTTATTAGGTCAATGCCTTGATGGAGTTCGAAGATGAGCATTTTCCGCTTAGGGTAAGCAGAGATAAGCAATTTGATTGGTTGATACTTTGGGGCACGATAACTCTCTTCCTAATTGAGCTAGAATGTTCAAACTTGGTGTATGTGTTGATTAGGTCAATGCCTTGATGGAGTTCGAAGATGAGCATTTTCCGCTTAGGGTAAGCAGAGATAAGCAATTTGATTGGTTGATGCTTTGGGACACGATAACTTTAGTTGTCCCCCGCCTTTCGAAGAAAGCAGGGGACTATTAAAATGGGTTCGTCCGTCTGTCTGTCTGTCTGTCTGTCTGTCCGTCACACATTTTGGGACACAATAACTCCCCTTCTAATTGACCTAGAATGTTCAAACTTGGTGTAGGTGTTTATTAGGTCAATGCCTTGATGGAGTTCGAAGGTGAGCATTTTCTGCTTAGGCTAAGCAGAGATAAGCGATTTGATTGGTTAATGCTTTGGGACACGATAACTTTAGTTCTAATTAAGTGAGAGTGATAAAATTTGGTGTATAGTTTCATTACATCAATACCTTGACTAAGTTCGATAATGAGCATTTTCTGCTCAGGGTAAGCAGAACGATAAGCAATTTGATTGGCCGAGACTTTGGAACACAATAACTCTCCTTCTAATTGAGCTAGAATGTTCAAACTTGGTGTAGGTGTTTATGAGGTCAATGCCTTGATAGAGTGCGAAGATGAGCATTTTCTGCTTATGGTAAGTAGAGATAAGCAATTTGATAGGTTGATGCTGTGGTAAATGATAACTTTAGTTCTAATTAAGTGAGAGTGATGAAACTTGGTGTATAGTTTCATTACATCAATACCTTGCCTAAGTTCGATGATGAGAATTGTCTGCTTAGGCTAAGGAGCAATAAGCATTTTGATTGGTCAAGACTTTGGAACATAACAACTCTGCTTCTAACTTGAAGTTGATGTTCGTCTTGACCGAATTCAATGATTAACATATCGAGCTAAAGCTAAGCAGAGATAAGCAATTTCCTTGGTCGATGCTTTGGGACAAGATAACTTTGATTCTATCTGATAGAGAGTGATGAAACTTAGTGTATAGTTGATAATCAGTTCGATTGCTCGATACTTTTGAAAAAAATAGATGTGCGATTAATTAATATGTATCATCTATTTATTTGTGGATTTCGGCGGGGGACATCAGCCTCACTGTTGGCTTGTTAAATTTTAATTCAGGTATGTGTCTGATGTGGGTATAAATGGCTACAAGGTCATCTGTCAACATAAAGCTCTACAATGTGCCAATATTCTTCCACAATTAAGTCGAGTGTATCCACCATGTTATTTAGAGTGGATGGCAGCACAGCGTAAAGCTAATATGGCGCTAGAAGTAAAATTTCCTGATGGTAAGTTTCAAGCTGTTAATTATACACTTTATACATTATTCAAGAGCTAAATCTGCCTATTGCAGGTCCTTTTTCCTGGTTTCAAATTATTATTAGACATTTATTCACATGACATGTGCATAATCAACTCTTTAGATCATCAGATGACTTAGATATTGAGTGGATTAGATGATCTTTCTTGAATTGTATTTTATTTTTACATCATATTTGTACCTTTATGATTTGGATTCATTATTCTGAAAATAACTTTTAGAAATTTCTCTTCATGTATGATTTTGATTATATTTGATATTTCTTCTATTAAAGATGTGAATATGTATGGTCATATTGAGTCGTGGACATCAGGAGAATTATTTACATCACATCTACTTAAAATGAGGTAAATTTAGACAGATTTTAACTTTTTGCATACTTCTGGAATATCATAATATGAAATATGGCTGGAAATCACTTTTAGAATTACTACAAGATAATGAATGTTTGTTTTGGATTAAAACCTCAATTATATCTGAAGGCTTAATTTTATACATTGTCTAAATGTTGAAAAATAATTCAATTTGTAATGGAATTTAGGATGACTCTTAGTGACCAGGGCATTTGCATATACTACAGAAACAAATGAATTTATTGATGCCAGTGAGTAAATCTGTGAGAATTTTAACCCGTACTTTATATCTTTTTTGTCCTTATTATAGAGGGTTACCAGAAAACTGTCATGGCTGGACAGTTGTTTTACAGAATGATACAGATTTCTATGAATTAATGGGGTATGACTATGTTCTGGATTTAATAAGTGAAATGGAGATAGCACCAGGCTTTCCTGTATGTAAGGCCTATTTCTTGGTATCTACCGATAGAAGTAAAGAAAGAATACAACATCGTAGACATCTTAATTCCGATCTGTAAGTACCTCAGGCATTTTCAGATTAACATTAATTTCATTACTATGGTTACGTGTGCAATTTGTGGTCCAGAGTTTTGCCTGGACACTGGGGATTTGAGCCCAGGACATATTGGTCAAGAGGCCAGTTTGTCACATCCTATGAAAACCAAATATGGGATGAATAAAATGAACATCGGTATGGAGTATTTTGAAACATTTTGTAAGAAAATGACTGATATATTTGAAATATTGAATTCTCAATGTGTGATGTTCTTTTTTTTTTCAGTCCTCACAACCCAGATAGAGAAAGATTAATGATTATAGTGGGTAGATTGCCAGAGTTGCTGAAACGTGACACATCAAAAATGAATTCCGGTAATATCTCGGATATTAAACAACAACGAATCTTACGGCAGAAAATGGCAAATTCCCCTCCATTAGAGGATGAACTGGGTTTCTCTATGACTAGTGTGTTAAATCAAAGACCAACAGATATTTTCTCTAAGGGACTTTCGGAGAGCAAAATGAATACCCGGTATACAAAGAGAAGTGGAGCTGTAACAAACGGAAATTCAAACGGTTTCACAAACGGAGATATCACAACAATCATTGAAGATGATCTGGAAAATGAATTATCTGGAAATAGATTAAATGTTCGTTATTTTTCATCAAATGGTGAAATTGGACATCCAGAAATGACAGCAGATCTTGATCCTCATAGTAAACTCAATAGCCGCTATGTGAAATCAGGTATTCAAGGAAAGAGGAAAATAGTGGGAGGTAATCGCGGTAAACATATAACAGACGGAAATGCTTCAGAAGCATCTTTTGTGACCAATAATACAGACTTCTCTCATTGGGTAGAAGACGTTTTTAACAATGCTCTTCAAAATGAAGAGGATGATATAGGTGATGGTAGAATGTTGGAGAATAGAATACGTGGAGGTGGAAAAGGTATACCAGGATTACAAACACAGCAGGTATGTCATTGTTAGATACTTATCTCAATGAGTCAATGTCCTGACAAGCAGATTGTGTGTCTACCTGTACAGCCAAATATGTGTTTATATATTCAATTTCTGTGGATGTATTTTGTCGTCGTCCCTGTCATTCCATCTGTGTATCTGTGTGTCCATTTACATTTTGTTTGTGGGCACTCTACAGGTCACTGTTTTTATCTGATTTTAACAAAACTTGAAATATAGATTTATATTCAAGAGATCTTGATTCCTTTTGATATTGGCATGTACCGGACCGTAACTTCATAGATTTGGGCCTTATTGTGCGCTTAAATATTGTGCGCTTAAATATTTGACAATTTCATCATAATGACGGGCGAGTTTGAAATTCATGAAAATCGGACCAAAAATGTTGCAGTATAAGAAAAAATCCTGTTAAATTTAAAACACACACAACTTTCATTGCGGGCTGCGGGGGTTTGGTGTTAATGATTTTTAGGTGGTATTACTGACTTAGCTGGTGTTTGGGGTATTAGGGGTCTGATAAGCCCCATCTGTTTATATTCTGGTCTGTTCTGCTTTGTTTCTTTATCTCTTGTCTGCGGTGCAGGACAAGGAACAGTGTCTAGTCATTCGGATGGAACTGAAAACCAAGGTCCCATGTACACGCACCCTTGACAGTTGCACTTCGAAATAGAGTAGGCTGTAGTGCAGATTTCCCTCATAGCACACTGTATAGTGTATGCCTGTATTCTGTAGCCCAGTCAAAGCAGAAAAGTAGGATGTTGAACCCCATTTCATTTCTTATTTCAGTATTGGATCTCATTGATACTCAATGAAAATATATTTTGTACATCTCCAATAATATATATTAATTGTGTTTCATCCTATATCATATCATTATTTTCAAATGTTTAATGTTATGTTACTATTATTTTCTGACTTGTTTGTTTGTTTGTTTAGACAAGTATGCCTCTAGCTACTGGTGGTTTTATACCTCAGATGCCAACTGGTGGTCTGATCCCACAAATACCAACTTCAACTTTACCCCCTCCTACAGGTAATATTAACTTAGATTAGAGGTACTAATTTATTTGGCAACATTTCTAGGAGTATTCTCTCAGTGTTATCAAGTTAATGACATTGTGAAAATACTCTTCGAAACATCGCCCAAATAAGGTTAGCCCGTCACAAAACGACTAACATTTATTGTTGTCTAACAAAACAAATGTGTTATACTTTTTTAAAATTTCACACAAACGAAGAATGTTTAACGAGAACAACCAACATTTGTTCAAAAGAGACCAACGTTGATGTCACAATGATTGACCCAAACATCACATAGTAACAACATGGCGACATCAGCCATTTCTGTACCATGTGATCGTTAGCGAAATACTGATTGGAAGTCCCTATAAATTGTTTTGCTCTTTGTTAAAATTCAACACAAACGAGACCAACACAAACATTTGTTGGCTGAACAATGTTTTTTAATATTGTTCGGCCAACAAATGTTCCTGTTGAGATCCAAGCACACTGGCTAACTTTTGTCGGAAAACACTATTCGGCCAACAAATGTTAGCCGGTCTGCACCAGACTTGAGTCAATGTTTTTCCATAAGTATATGTTATAGTTCATCTTAAATACTAATGTGTTCATTTGGCACGTACATAACCTATATAACTGGCTTGAAAAATAATAATACACAGACAATTTACCCACCAGGTATAAACAAAGTATATGTTTGTATATTTGATAGATGCTTTACAACAATTGGTGGCTCAACAACAGATGCAACAGCAACAACAAGCAGTACAAGCTTACATGACACAAATGGTAAGTTAAGTATAACTATTGTATGATGTTTGTCGCCAAGTTCTGAGATATTTAGAATATTTTTGTGTGGAAAAATGATAATACACTGTATTATATAATTTTAATCAAAATATAAGTATAACTATTTTTCGATATTTACGACAAAGCTGAGATAAATACACTTTTATCAAAATGGTTCCTTTCCACACCAAGCAATGATTGTTTTCTTACCTAACCTCCATCTCCCTAACAAGTATTTTATTTTGTTTACTGAAATCCCATAATGATGAGTTTCATTTTAATTTTTACCAGGCTGAAGCACAGAGACAGCAACAACAACAACAAGCAATGATGCAGGCAGCACTACAGCAACAAAATGCCAGTGCTAACATCCAAGCTCAAACACAAACAACTACATCTGCTTTACGAACAGCCTTACAACAACAAGAACTACAGAATCAGTTACTGAAACAATCTATCGAACAGGAAGTTCTTAAACAACAGCTTCAACAGATACAGACAGGACCGAGACCAACTGGTTATCCTGCAGTAAATGGAGGCATTATTAGTCCAGCGTCTAGTTTTAACAGTGGTCTTAGTGTTCAGACTAATCAATTACCAGGATATATTCCATCCAATTTTGGTGCGGCTTCCAATATTTCTCAAACAACAAGTAACTTTCAACAACAGCCACCACCGCCTACAGCACCAAAGAAAGTCTCGTTTATAAAAAATAATTTTGAACCTTCTTCCTCTTCACAGGGTCTAATGAATCAGCCAAGTTATGTTTTTAAATCCCAACAATCTAATTTATCTAATGGTGTGTCGAATCAAGTGACTAGTAAAGCTGCTAATTTTGGTGCTGCTTCTACGTCAGCAATGACATACGAACAACAACCTGTAACCAAGGTAACAGTCCGTGAAGAAAGAAGCCAAACACAAACAAACATCCCTCATGATCCACCTCCCCCACCACCAACTTCTTCAGCTTTTATTGTTCAAAAACTTCACAGTCAGCCAGCTATTCCCCCACCTCCTCCACCACCCCCTCCAGCACCTACGAATAATTTTGAACCAGAGATTGACAGAGAAACTGGTACTTTTACATTTAAAGACACTGAAGGTAGAGCGAGAACTATTCGTATCGGGCGAGTTGTCTGGCCACCACCTGTAGCACATGACGGACATAAACTACGAGATGTGGGTAAACTGGACATAGATGAACAAGTAGCTAGAGATCTGGAGAAAATGTCTGGTAAAGCAAAATGGAAACCACCTGCTAAACCAGCTGATGAACCTAAATCCATCTTAAAGAAGCAGGAGGTATTAACTTTTATGAGAACTTGTACATTAGAACTTAAACCCAGTATTTTATGAGTCCAGCATTTCCATTGACTAAGAGTTAATATTTTTACTAGCTTTTTTTCCCTTATTCAAAGAAAATGCTGTATCCTTAAATATAAATATTTAAAAGCATTTATGAATAAGGCCCTAGGCCTACTTGGAGCAAAGCATGCACTAAAGCCCTTGAAAACTTCTATGGCTGTAATATGTACAATTGAATCTTAATACATCTGTGACATATTGGCAAATCTATCACTAATGTTGCATACAATCTTAATTTGAAAACCACCGATGTAATTGTACAGTCACTACAAGCATGAACTGCTGGTAACACATAAATAAACTTAACAATTTAATGATGATGATATTTTTCAGAAACCATTAAAACGAGGTAAATCTCTAGTGGAAACTACCCACATGGAGACGTTAAGATTATTAGAAGTAAAACTAGGAGGAGTACCTGCTAAAAAGACAACCACCACCACCACTACTGAAACAGCTAAAAAGGCCATAACAGCTGCTGTTGCAACTAAAGCTATCGAGGGCATCCCCCTTCCTCCTCCACCACCACCAGCACCAGCAGGTATGTTTAATTTATTATCAATAATCAAATTTTTTGTTTAGTTTTAGTCAGTCATATTGGTTATACTGATGTTACATATTTTAAAAACATGTATCTGCTCCAACAGATACACTTGCTAATAGTAGTAATAGTACTGTCAAAATGTAATTTTAACGATGTCAGACATAGAAAATAGTCTTATTATTTATTAACAACTTGTTTGAAGGGTTTTGCTGTAGTATCGTAATACAAAGCCACAATCTATCTCAGTAATCATCCTTTAATTAATACTGATCATTTTTGTGCCACATTTTCTTTTGCCATGTATCATAAATATGTGAAATATTGTGACCAAATTAATCACTTATTTCAAGCTGAGCATTGCTGCAAAAATTCTATGAAACTTCTGAAAATAATCCTTATAAGACATATAGAGGTAGATTTCACAAATTAAAAACACTTATATGGATATACTACTTCTGAATTTATTAACATGCTACGTTTCGATACACATACAGATAATGATATTTGTATGTGTATCGAAACGTAGCATGTTAATAAATTCAGAAATAATGGCAAATACTAGTATCACATTTTTGTCTGTTAATTTAACTAATGGTCACTAGTTTAGACAATACTAGCTGCCAGATTTGCTTAACTCTGCATGATATAAATTTGTTCATTTTTATATCTGTTGCTACTAAAATATCAAAAACTGCAATAAAATCATAGAGTTAGACCACACACACGTCTAAAGGGCTGTATACGTTGCTACCTCCATAAAGCAAGCACTATGTACTATCCTCTTAAAATGGTTGAGTTCAATAGGAATTGAAAAATTTATTTTCTAGCACTTCCACCACCATTACCTGACCGACCTCCACCAACGAAACCAAGTACTATACAAACACAGACGGAGAGAATTGAGAAAGTATCAGAAAATATACAAGCACAGGAACCAATTTATGAGACACACATCACACAGGAAGAGGAAGTACAAACTAAGATTATTGACTATGCCACTCTTGAAAGAGTTATGACCGAACTTTACCCACAACAAAAGAATTTCTTCCTTACTTACAGTCCGGTTCCATGGAAACTTCATGTCAGAAAAGAGGTGGGTCAATTTTTAACATAATTATAGAATAGTTTATTGTCATTGTAATATTCTCTACAGTGTTGATAATTAATTGTCGCAATTAAAGAGTTTTAACAGATTATCTGCTCCTGTTGTCATTGATGTAATACTTAGAAATGACTAACGACAAAAGCAAATTATCATACCACTTAACTATACATTTTTCTTGCACTTTACAAAGTAAGGGAGGGATATTGAAATGGGTTCTGTCCTTTCGTTACTGTTTTTTTCTGATATCTTATATCCTATTCAAGATGTATTTATGAAACATCATACACATGTCAAGCTATTTTAATAGTTATGCCCTTTGCTAATTAGATATTCCTTGATTTTAATAACCTTTGGGTTTCATTCAATGGATGCAAATTTGACTTTTTTGTATTAAGGCTGTGGGATGTTAATTACTATATCTTTATTTCTTTGTTCTTGGTGATGACAAAGTATTTAATATTTCAGGTATTTTTACCACAAGAGAAATTAGATAATCAACTAGCTCTACATCTAATCTACTGTCAAGTTGTACAAGATGTTTATAATAATGCTTGTATTAGAATCACTAAAGAGGATAAAATCAAAATGAAATCTACTCTAGGTAATTTTTATGTTCTGTTCAAAGAATGTAGTAAAATATTGTTTATTGATTACATTATTCTCTGACTATCTCTACTTTATAGATCTTGTCGATCAATAACAAGTGTATCATTTAACATTAAACTTTATAATATAGAGTTATCCAGAGAGGACAAGTGTCTCATTTAAAATTAAACTTTATAATAGAGTTATCCAGAGAGGACAAGTGTCTCATTTAACATTAAACTTTATAATACAGTGTCTCATTGAACATTAAACTTTATAATAGAGTTATCCAAAAGTGTCTCATTGAACATTAAACTTTATAATAGAGTTATCCAAAAGTGTCTCATTGAACATTAAACTTTATAATAGAGTTATCCAAAAGTGTCTCATTGAACATTAAACTTTATAATAGAGTTATCCAAAAGTGTCTCATTGAACATTAAACTTTGTAATAGAGTTATCCAAAAGTGTCTCATTGAACATTAAACTTTATACATTGAGTTTTCAAGAAAAGAACATTGCGTCATTGAATCTGCTTTCATCATGTAGTCTGTATCTGTTAACTTTTGGTACTTCCGTTAAGCACCAGTCACATCATTGCGAGTTTAGATTGCCTGCATCATGCTTATCACTCAAGACAGCAAGACATGACAACTTAAAAGACTTGACTCTTCTGTAATAATGCTGCTACAATATAGTGTTGAATGGATTCTTCAAGTTACTGTTTTTGGTCATTTCCTTGACTTTAGTTAAAAGACAGCAATAGATGTGGTTCGGTAAACACTCCTGTTTACTATATATAACCCTGTGTTTTCCACAATATCCAGAGTTTTTCATGTCCCCCACAGTACTACATCATTTGTGTACATTGTAATGATAAAATGCTATTAGTAAACTTTTAACATGGCTGTTAAATAAAAATTTGAATGTTTATTTTTGTTTTTTGAATATTTATGTTTTATTTTAGATACATATGGAGTTAGTAATCATAATGTTTTAACTAAAGAGGTCAGTCAGAAAGCCAAGAAAATTATAGTTGATACCGCCAAAGAATGGCCTACATATTTCTGTCGTCTCTTTCCCGTGGCAGTAAGTTTTACTTTATATTTAAATTCTGTTTAAACTGCAAATATAAGTGCTTATTACCATTAGCAAACACATTCAAAATCTGACAAGAGTTCCATGCTTACTGTTATTTCCAACCGTCAAGGGATCTTTAATGGGCTGCCAATGGTAAACATGGTACCTCACATTTTCATTCCATCAGCGCATGGGTGCAGGGTGGGGGGTGAATGGCCAAATTGTTAACGTGTGTTCGTTGCATCTTAAGGTGTGTCATTGAGTCAAGTGGCATGGTTTTGATTCCCCACTTGTCTGTGACAAGGAGTAGGGTTGCCTGGTCAACCTTGTGGTTTTTCTCTGGTTTCCGCCATACGCCAAGACCACAGCGTGTAAGCGAATTAATGAAATAAAGTTAAACCATATCTTCGTTCTGAAATGATCTAGTTTGTGTCCAGTGGATGTTAACCCCTCCCCTCTCTCTCTCTCTCTCAGCACAATTAGATGCTTTACCCTGCCAAGGCCGCCGTCCTGCACTATTAACAAGCAGAAACCAGAGGACCTTCTCAAACCCAAGACCTACTGGTTTGTGACCAGAGCCATACTCATAGACTTTATTTCTGTGGAATATCTGACCTTGTTTATTAGAAGCCAATCCATATTGGTCAAATGCTGCACCATATTAACATAAATTCCAACACTTATATAAACAATTAATGGTGGGAGTATGCAACAATAAAATTTAATCTGAACTTCAGGAAAATAAAGAAATTAAGTTTGCATATTGAATTTTGATGTGATTTTAATATGTATGGTTTTTTTACAGTCAACAGGTCACTATTCTAGTGTCAAATATTTGGGCGTGAGTCATACAGGTTTACGTCTGGTAACAAGAGAAAGAACATTAATAGATGACCATCTCTCTGTTTTAGAAGAAATCAGGTATAATTACTTACAGTTGGGGGTGGGGGGGGTTAAGGGTTTATCGTGTGCGCTTTAGACTATAATGTATGTCATTGAGTCAAGTGACGTGGTTTTGAGTCCCCATCTGTTTGTGACAAGGAGTAGGGTCACCTGCCCAACCTCATGGGTTTTCTCCAGTTTCTTCCAACTGCTAAAGAATAAAGAACCCCATGTGCATAAAATGTTACAGCATACTCTTATTCCTGAAGGGGGGGTGGAAGGCTGAATGGTTAGCACGTGCGCGCTGTATCATACAGTCTGTCATTGTGTCAACTGGCGTGGTTTCGATTCCCCGATTGTACGTGACAAGGAGTAGGGTCGCCTGTCCAACCTCGTGGATTTTCTCCGTTTCCTCCGGTTTCCTCCCACTGCTAAAGACCCCTACGCGCAAGCGAATTATGGAAATAAAATTGAACCATATGTTAGTCCCGAAATGACCTAGTTTGTGTCGAGTGGATGTTAAACCCCATTTCTCTCTCTCTCTCTCTGATTCCTGAATTCCAACATGTACACCAGATGCTGTCCTTGTGAGGCCCTCCATCCTGCACCACTCAACAAGGGGGAACCACGCCGGAAAATATCCTGATGAACTTTCTCAAATTTCCAGTTTCCAGTGCATTATCCTTATCTCCTTGTCTCAGAACAAAGAACATGCAGTAAATGATGACAACTTCTCTGTAACTAAAAAAGTTTGCATGTATTTTTCAGGTTTGAAGATGTAGTAGATTGTGTGATGCCAAGTGATTCAACGATACAACTTGACTTAAAAACAAAATCAGTTTTATTTTACACACCCAGGGTAAATTATTTACATAAAATGTTTATAATAGTTGTGAAAGAACAAAAAATAAACTGATAAAATCGAATGATTTTAGGATGGGAACTAATAAATCTGTATTTTAATTTGGGATCATTTCTTAAGTTTTAAGAATAAACTAAAAAACTTGTGTGTGTTTTTTTTTTGTAGGCAAAGCAGCTGAAAAACATGATTGATAAATTCTGTACAGAGAGTGAAAAGGTATGTAGAAGATTGTATTTCTATTCGTTTAAAATGATATGAGTAAATATATATAGATGTTGGTCTTGAACTATTCCAGTAATTTTACCAATAATTTTATTCTCTAGAAGGGCTATGCCTTAAACGTGATGTTGAACAATTCTGGGTGGTTAAAGTCCTGATGCGTCATTTTAAGCAATAGAAATCACTTGCAAACTACAATATTGTGAAAGATGAACCTCTAATAGGAAAAACAGTCCATTCAGTATTTACAAAAATATGTGGAATTAAAATTTCATCAATCTGTACTGATCACTATGAAATGAGTCTGTTGCCCTTTTGTTGTCCACGAAAATTTGATCATTGGTCTGTTTTAAATCCAATAGAATCCAAGTCAGGCGGTTATCTAGCAATCATGGTATTTTGATTTTTTTTTCTTGATTAAATTTTAAATAATCATTCTGAGTACTTATTAGCGTGAACTGGACTGTGATATTTTTGTGACAAATGCCAATGGCGCATCATTACTTTAATTTGTATTGTATTGTATTATAATTGTTTCAGGGGAATAAGTACGATTGATGATTAATGTGTATTTATAATTGTTTCAGGGGAATAAGTATGTTGTAGCTTTAAGAGATTATATAACCAGAGAATCAACATTACTCAGTTTTAAATGTGGGGATATTATAAAACTCATGGATCCTGAGATGCACTTGGATCAAGGTACCTAACATTTTAATTTAATTATTGTAACACCTTTATGTAGCAGAAAATATAATATTATGATCTCTGTTTTATTGACCACTACTAACTATAGCATTGAGAAGGCTACTGTTTACTGTAGCATTGACTACTGGTACCTGTAGCATTGTTTACAGCAAACTGTTGCATTGACTACTGCTTACTGTAGAATTGACTGCTGCTAACTGTGGCATCTGACTACTACTAACTCTAGCATTGACTACTGTTAATTGTAGAATTGACTACTGCAAACTGTAACATGGACTACTGCTAATTGTAGCATGGACTTCTGCTAACTATTGCATTGTCTACAGCTAATAGTAGCATTGACTACAGCGGACAACAGCATTGAGTACTGCTGACCATAGCACCGACTACTGCTAATCAAATACCAGGTGAGATGAAGTACAGGACACAAAGTTTTGCTTTATTTCTTTAATTACTTTTAAGGTCTTTGCATCAGAAGAACCCCAACTTAATTTCTGTATTATGTTCTACTTGTGGTTATATATATTACTATATTATAAAATGATTATTTTTTAGGTTGGCTTTATGGCTCATTGAATGGTATTGTTGGTATTTTCCCATCAGAGTATGTTAAAGTATTACTTCGTCATGAAGTTGAACATAGTTCAACAACCAGGGTATGTATACAATGTTTATGCAACATATCAAATCATTTCAGCTTTGATTGTGTCTAGAAAATAACTATTTTTTTCTTAACAAAAAAGTATTTGCTAATCTTTCATAAAGCTAATTGGATTAATACAACATGAAAAGTTACTATCAAGAAGAAAATTATTTAAAATATCAGCTAAATTTTTTAAATTCATGTGTTTTAAGGTGGAGTAGCCCCAAGCAATGTTTGTTTTTTGTTTACTTCATAATAATAGGACTGTGAGATATATATGGAATTGTAATAACTAATTTTATATCCTTTGTAATAATCCCTTTATAGAAGGGTATCATTAGTATCACCTGGAGAAACAATATTTGAATTTGAAATATAATTGGTGTATAGATAGGTGGGATGAAATGCATTTGCTATATAATCTTAAAACAGCCGGCAAACTGTTATGTAGTTAAAGAATGTGAAATCCTAAAATTATAATCTTTAGTTGAATTATTTATATTTTTTGGGTGTTACTCCCTCTTCAAATTTGTGCTAATTTAACATTAACCTAGCTTTAAACTGTTTTTAATCAAGTCTGTTTTACGGCTTATTGCTGTTTTGCTTTACAGGCAGTTTTAGTACAAAGACAAACAAGTAGAGTAAGTATTTTATTCTGATTTATTTTAACCCTTTCACTGCGTATACCCGGTAGTACCGGGTATTATAAAATGTCGGTAAAATGCCCGTACCCGGTATTACCGTGTACTCAGTAAAGCCCTCGCTAAAATTAGTACCGTAACTGCAAGTGCCATCTATTGTATTTTCTATACACTAGAACATATTTCCACGTGTTTCAAAGCAGCAAACCGTAAAATGGCGGAGTGCATTGTGACAACATAGACAATGCACTCTCGACGAAGTCGTGAATGACGTCTTGCTGACCAACATGTGGACAATTTCGAGGCGGGTGATACACATAATTCGTTTCCAGTTACTTGATAATGATAGTAGTCAGGACAGTGATTGGTATTATGAAGTGTGTGATTTGTTGCGCGACGTTCCGCCCTTGGCTAGCTATGTCTCACGTGCATGATGAACAAGCCCAATGTGAACACGATAGCCCTGTGTCTGCAGTAGATTCTGACAATAATTCTGATGTTGATAATAATGCTGGCCTGCTGGATCGTAAAATACGTAGGTAATTCCTGATTCCCGAACGTGTAGATCTATTGACTGACTATATTGATAATGATATGGGACTTGGGGATGAAAGTGAAAGTGAAAGTAAAAACAAGGTATTGCAATCCGCACGTGGTCATGGCAGCGGGAGACGTGATGCGCGTGTTCGCGGCGGCATTGCTCATGGCTGCTATTGATATTTTTGTTCATTTTATATATCTTTATCAAAATCCAGTAAAAAAAACAATATCTTTTAAGTATTTCATGGAGAAAAATTCGTTTTCGTGTTAGCTTTAGTGTGAAATGAGAAATCCAAAATGGCCGCCATGACGTCACGTGACTACATTATTATGCAAATTTCCAAAATTCTATTTTTTCCTCTTAGCCCAACCTCATGCCCATCCCAACAGACAAAAAGATTTTTCATAAAAGCTTCCATAAGTACTGCTTGGCATTCAGTTCCAACCTCCCTTTTTTCCTCAAAAAAGGGTCTAGCACAGGCAGTGGATTTACGTCTAGCATTGAAAGGGTTAATCTAGTAATTTACCTTAGCAGCTTGTTAATTATGTTAGCATATTTTTACATCACAAAAATAGACATGTTTGTATGCACATGTATGAGATAAAATGTAATAGTAGAGAGCGGGGAGTGTTCGCAGATTGAATGTCAAAAGGTTTTATGAGAGTTTGATGTTCACGTCACAGAATGAGGTAGTTTATGAGTTGGTAAAATATATCAATTATTTTGATGAGGGTTTTGAATTAGGCAGACATACAATATATCACCATATTACAGTTCGTATCTGGTGGGTTTCAGGGTAGTTTATTATCCAGTTTCATTGTAGCTGTAATGTAGGCTCAATTATCAAATATACAACCCTGATAAATCTTATTGACAATCATAAATGACACTGCATATGTTATCTTGGGTTCACTCCCGGTGTTGGCAAAAAAAGTTCCTCTGGTGTGGCAAGTCTTTGACAGAGATGCAGGACGAATGGTGGAGCGTCTAGTCGTTTGGATGGGACGAAAGTCCCCAGTCCTGTGTACACTTTAGCATGAACATTTGAACTTAAAAGGATCCTTGACATTTGGAATTTGATATAAGAGTATGCAGTAACGCCACTGTCCACAGAAAATGTTCCTCATAGCACACTGCATGACGTATGCCCATCTTCATTTGCCCAGTTGGAGCAGAAAAGTAGAATGTTAAATTTCATTTCATGTCATTTCATTAACCTATATGATGGTTGTTTATTTGCAGGAATCAAGAGATGATATTAGTGATGCGAGTCAAGGTTCATTCATGCCAGAAGGAAAATATTCAATGATTGAGTTTGCTATCATGAATTTTAGAGAAACAATAGACAAGTAAGTCAAAACAACATATATTTTTATCCTAGAAAATTTAATTATTAGTTTTATTTTTTACAGTATAAACATTTTTTGGAAATTTCACTTGAAGGGTGAGTTTTGTTTTGCAAATGCTCTTGACCAAAAAGTTTGGGGGTTGATTCCAAATTTGAAGGGAATTTATAAGATATCTTGTGACTGGTTTCAGGCCAATTTTCCAAGTTCATTGAACCAACTTGATACAGAAAAGTAGGACGTCAAACCCCATTTTCCTCCATTCATTCCATCTTTCTTTTGTTTATTTCCCCCCCAAAAAGGGGCTAAAGTGGGTGGGACCAGTGATATTTGAAAAGGATTATACTATATGAGTTAAACTTGTTTCATACTGAATGGTAAATGGTTTGAAGTGATGCCTGTAAAATTACAGGATTGTAATAAGCTATGAACTTTTCTTGGATATGTACATATTCTAGTCAAGGAAGGATATGTGCATGTAGTCACAAAATGATTTGTGCATGTAGCCAAGGAAGGATTTGTACATGTACAGTAGGCAAAGATGGCTTTGTAGTTAAGAAAGGATTTGTACATATAGTTAAGGAAGGATTTATGCAAGTGGTCAAGGAAGAAAGTAGCAATATGTCAAAAATAGTTGATTAATATTCAGCACAATTGATAATGTTAAAATTGTTTCTATCTTCTATTGTATATATAGTAGATATTCAGCTAGACCGAGAACCAGGTAAACAAGTGTATAGTGATCAAATTAATTAATCACATTGATCTATTAATGAGCTTTGATTATATATAAATAATAACTATATCAGCATTTTAATGAATGATCTCGGATACATCTTCTCGTTATTGCAACTTATTAAAAAACTTCCATTTATATACAAGGACCATATATATACTATATATTGAAAATCTTGACACTGATAGTATTTGACAATATAGATTTTGAGGAGCTATACTGACAAAATTCACAAATATATTGGTATTGATCATGCAAAAATGTAATTTTAACGCCTCAGGGAGTTGTTCACTGTGCAATATACAGAATTTGTGTGCAACCAGTACCCACTTAAATCTGGATAGACTGGAATATAGCAATCACATGTCTGAATTAAGGATACAAGAATTTGAGGATCAAACAATGTGATTACAGTTCTGTCTCTCGGACTATTAATATGCGTCTCTCTACACTAAAGAATTTACTGTTTTCTTCCAACCATACCCATCTAACTACCACAGGAGACTTAATATAAAATGCAACTTACTCTGGTATATGCTTCTTTAATGATATATAATTATATGAATGATTTGTTATTATTCCGAACACGCTTCAGTCAAAACCACACACTTTCAGTTTATTGATACAAAATGTGGAATTAGCTAATGTTACAATAATATGAATACACTTTAGAATTATTCATTATCGTGATGACAGAATATCAACCAGCTTTTATGATTATAACAAATGATAATTTTTTAGATCTATATTCAAATAACCCCTTTTCCATTTCTGATTTTACATTCAAAATTTTTGTATCCATTATGTTTCAACAATATTTGAAGGTTATTGATAATGTTTTTTTTTCAAATACCGGTGGTCCTTGTTCAATTACTGATTTTACAATTGCATTTTGTAATTATAGTCATTATGCATTTTCTTTAATATAATTATGTATTTATAATAAATTGATGTGTTTTATATAATTATTTAATTATAATAAATTGATATGTTTAATATAATTATGTATTTATAATAAATTTAACAGGAATCAACACAGATTACCTAATCAAGGTAATTACAGACTAACGAATATCATATTTTTATTCTAGCACTTGTCTGGTCTTCACATGCCTGGTTCAGTTCCATCATGCATTATGTTTTTTAAAAATTTTATTTTAGTTAATTTTAACTTCAAGTTGTGGTCTCTAATACGAAGATGGCATTAGCTATTTAGGTCCATGCAGAGTAATCAGATTTTTTTTTAAGTGCCGTGCATGTAAAAGAACCCTTGACGTTTGGAATTCAGATGCTGTCCTGGCAAAATTTCCCTCATAGCACACTGTGTGGCATATGCCCATCTTCATTAGCCCAGGACAAGGAGTATGGTCGCCTGTCTAACCTCGTGGGTTTTCTCCGGGTCCTCCGGTTTCCTCCCACTGCTAAAGACACCTACGCGCAAGCGAATTATTGAAATAAAATTAAACCATATGTTAGTCCCGAAATGACCTAGTTTGTGTCGAGTGGATGTTAAACCCTATTTCTCTCTCTCTCATTAGCTCAGTTAGAAAAGTAAAACACATATCTGCTAAGAAAAATGTCACTGTCATAGACATATTTACAATCAGAGATATTTAAGATGGAGATATATATATATATATAACTGTCCCCCTTTAAAATTAATATATCGCCTTCTTGTTAGAGATCCTGACTTTCAAAATATGACATCAAATACACAATTCCAATTCATTTTCGACTGATGGAGTTTCATAATCTTTATAGAAAACAAAAACTGGAATTAATGCATGTAGTTTTATTGGAAGTTGGATTAAAAAAAAATTCTTAATCCTAATGGAATGATGTTTGAGAGTAGATTCTTCTTATAAATTGGAATTAAGTGATTGATATCATCATTTTTTTTTTTACTGTCTAGTTGCTTGAAAATAGTTTTATTTACATTTCATATACGCCTTCTGACTGATTGACCTCACCAACCGCACTGCTTCCATTAAAAAAAAAAGTTTTTGTTCCAGCAAAGCAACCAAGCGTTCCTAATTCATCTATCATTATTGCACTGTAATCCATTTCATGCTTACTTATTTTAACTCTTGGATGCTCCAATCATTATTTGTTAAAGGTACGAAATGCTGAGAAAGAATGATGGTTCTATCAGGGGAACAATCAAAATGATTGAAAGTCTCAAGCTTCGTAAACTACAACAACTAACTAAACATGGACGAAACAATTCTAAAGGTGACGGTGGTGCTTCATCTTTATTCTTTAATATTAGACTATTTATCTCTTTTTATATACGGTATTCATTTTCTATCTTTTTATTTTTGATTTTCTAAATTCTCCTTAATTTTTGGTTTCCTAAATTCTCCTTAATTTTCGGTTTCCTAAACATTGTCTTTCATATATTTTTATGCTTCACAATGCTGAAAATAAATACCATTGTACTCTTTACTTCTATGTTGAGTATGGTATATATTTATGTTTAGTATACCATGCATATCAACATATCATAGTATTTAAAAACCATCATGTTTAGTCTGCCTTGTAGAAATGCATCTATTTGCTTAATTCATATTTGCTTGAATAATACTAGTATTATGCTACTATACACAACACCAAAAAAATACATTACTATATCTTTATTTACATATTTACTTCGGTCTCAATTCCCCATTATTTCCCTATGTCAGTTGTGCAGGACAGAGGATCTGGCAAGGAACAGTATCTAGTCATAGTCTAGTCAAAACCCATGGCTGTTGGGTAGCGAAATAAGAATAGGCCGTAAGAGCAGCTGTTTGATCAAAATTCCCCTCATAGCATATTTCTATCTTCATTAGCCCCATTTCATTTAATGCCAGCCTCTGCTTGTATAAAAATTTATTATTGTGTGTGCAAAAATACAAATTTGACTTCCATTGTTCAGTATGTGGATACATCTACTCATTACATTCTCTTATATTTTATAAATATTATATTAGAAGTTGAAATCGGGACTGAAAATCATCTTTATATTCCATGCAAAATTTTAGATGAACAAAGTTTTATCATTCTCAAGATAATAATACAAGGTACAATTAAAACACCTTGGATTAGGGGGCCATTTACAATTAAACCAACACAGCGGAAAATCTTTTAGGCAATGAATTGTATTTTGTTATTTTTGTTGCATATAATGTTTATATTTGTCTACTATTCACATATCTGTATAATTTGCTTGATAAAGATGAGAGTATACTCGTCAAAACGTCACTTAGTATTAAACTCAGTAATTGTGTATCCATAAAATAGTACCTTGTGTTAATATGTTCAATTACTAAAAACTATTATTAAAATATTAGAGGCAATATCTATCTGTAGGCTCTATACTTCTCAGGGGCAGATTAAGCTTGTACGAGGCCCCTCAATGAAAATATCACTAGGTCCCTTGCATCAACAGTAAAAATGGACATTTTACCAAAGCTGCTAAGTTGTATGTCCCTTTTGTTGAACTCTATCAAAAATTCAAAATTTATTAAATGTAATAAATATAAAATTGTTTTTAAATACAGCTGGTGATTGGTCATGGAAAGAACAGGCAGAACTTATTAAATGGACAAGGGTACGAATGTATATTTTTTTTTTTAAAATCAGAAATAATTTTGCTTCAAATGGACAAGAGTGAAAAATAATTTTGATTCAAATTTTTAAATTTAAAAGTCAGAATGAAATGCAAAATAAAGCAACTTCTGATATTTTTGTGTCATTGAAATCATTAAATTTTAAGAATAACTTCCGAAGATCACCAAATATTTAAGTTAGTAGATTGTCTGTTTTTTTCTTATTCCAGTCCCCTATCCAGGCCTCTCTGTTGAAACTTACATCTGCTGAACTCAACAAAATGGCTTTAGAATGTTTTATATGTAAGTAGACTTAAAGAAATAAAGAATTGAATTGAATTGCCAGTATATGATATGCCAGACAAGTCCTATGCGAGCTGGCAAATGTCCAATCGGGAATATGCCTGCTTAATCGTACATCAAGATATGGGGAATCATATTCAAAATTCCAAAAAATATTGGCTGTACTGAGGTTATAACAATTACTAATCTTGATTGTGTTCGATAATAGGGGCGATTTTTTAAGTAAGTCGTTCGTTTGTTCCTAAAGTTTTACGTCCACTTCCACCATAGGTGATATCGTAGACAACTTTTTTTTTTTTAAAGTAATTAAGTGATCAATCCGTTTATAGTGTTATACACCTACCGTGATTGACTATATGTATATTAAATTTCAAGAATATTAGATATATCTGGAGGTTCACAACGAAATAGTAAAATGAAATTGCCAAATAATATTATTATAAAAAGTATCTTTTATTGTGGCAAACAATTAAAATGTAAACAGTTACAATTGATAACAATAGAATTTTTGTTAAAATGTTGCTTATGTTAAAATCAGTAATTGTATTCTTAGATTTGTGGTTTATTTAATGATAATAAAATGCCACTTAAACAATATATGTGTGTCCTCTGGTTTCCTCCATAAAGACCCCTAACCGCGAGTGAATCATTGAAATAGATGGGATCAAGAACTGAGGTCCCATGTACAGTTAGTCAACTGGCGTGGTTTCGAATCCCCAGTTGTACGTGACAACCTCGTGGGTTTTCTCTGGGTTCTCCGGTTTCCTCCCACTGCTAAAGACCCCTATGCACAAGCCAATTATTGAAATAAAATTGAACCATGTGTTAGTCCCAAAATGACCTAGTTTGTGTCGAGTGGACGTTAAACCCCATTTCTCTCTCTCTCCCCGTGTAGAGTTTTAATTCGATGTAATAGTGTGCTGTAGCGCCGCTGTCTGGGCAAAATTTCCCTCATAGCACACTGTATGGCTTATGACCATCTTCATTAGCCCAGTCGGTGCAGAAAAGTAGTAGGATGTTAAACCCCATTCCATTTCATTTTGTATATGCTCTTATTTTCAGGTATAATGAGGTTTATGGGAGATTATCCAATGAATAACATTTCTGATGTTGACTGTGTTATCGACATTCTTAGAGTATGTATAACAAAATAGTTAATGATAATAATAACTTTATTTAGAAAGGATAGAAAATAGGCCAAAAGCCTTTCTTACATTTTGCCCTCTGTACTAAAATGAATTGAAAATTACGTAAAAGTATGAAACACAAGCCAAATACAGAGAGACAGAAGAAGATAATATACAAAAGATATACAGTGTCAATTCCGACATTGTACAGGATTGATACAATATGCTGGATTACACAGCACGTCGGAATACTCAATCGCTGCAATACCGGAAGTATTATTGTACTTTCGAATACTGCAAGTATTATTATTATGCACCCTTGAATACCCAGTACTTAAAATATGATAACGCTTTCTGTACATTCTGTACGATCACATATTATAAACACAATATTATAATGATAGTGATTCTTCACCTTGGTAATTTATTGTTGCTGTATTTGACGTGAGAAACTCAAATGAAATACCAATTGCTCTTTTACGAGAGATTGTAAAATTATCAAGGTAATCAACAAAGATCGACACATGTTTCATGCTCACAGATAATTGGCCGGTGATTGCTTGTCGGTAACACCCGGTGATTAATGTCGTAATTCCGAATATTCAGAATCTGGACTACTCAAAACTTTTTTGTTTGAAGTAAAAGGAAATAAATCGGGATATGAAAATGATGACAGATTTCACAGAATGACATAGTATTCAGATGTCAGAAGTGACAGAGTCCACTGTATACATAAATAATGGTATAATTTCAATTATGGTGTTGTTCGATAGTTTTTTCATATTGTAATAATATTGATGCTTGTTTTATAGTGTTGTCATAAATATCCTGAATTACGAGATGAAATATTCTGTCAATTATGTAAACAGACGACAAATAATAGAAGTATGAAACCGTAAGTACAATACCCTTGCATGTAGACTTTGTAGATCATTGTAAACTGCTCTCAATGTGTCTTAGTTCTTGAATTATAAAAAAAGTGACAGTTCAGATTCACTATCTGAAGGATAAGGGTAGAAGGAAACAAAATAAGCAGTCAAGTTTCCTCTTTCTAAGACAGAAGTAAAAATTCCTTGTGAGAAAGAAGAGAAAACTCCTTGTTGTGAGAAAACAGTAGAAATTCCTTGTTCTGAGAAAGTAGTGAAAACTCCTTGTTCCACGAAAAAAACAGTGATAATTTCTCTTCTAAGAAAAAACAGTGACGATTCCTTATTTCTGAGGAAATAGTGTCAGTACCTTGTTCTTAGAAAAACAATGTCAATTCCTTGTTCTTAAAAAATAGTGACAATTCCTTGTTCTGAGGAAATAGTGGCAATTCAATGTTCTAAGAAAAACAGTGGCAATTCTGAAAATGCATTGTTCTGAGAAAACAGTGGCAACTCCGTGTTGAGAAAAAAATAACTGTGGCGATTCCGTGTTCTTAGACAACTTAGAAATTAATTTGTCAATCAGATACCTGAATACTGGATGTTGATATTTTCTTATTTTATAGAAAAAGTGCTATTAGAGGTTGGAGATTGTTTGGTATTGTTGCTGCTTTCTGTGATTGTTCAGATACACTGAGACCATATTTATTTAAATACCTAGAAACTAACTCATCAGACATCAGTCGACCATATAGTTGTAAGTTTTTATATGTCATCATTTAATAAGGACGTATATATATCTATATATTGTTGTCACCATCGTTTGTTCACAATTTGTGAACGATTTGATTTTTCTTTAAATTCGCATGTATAGTTCATTTTGTCGTAAGGAAAAAAGTGGGGTTGGATGTGTGCTGTATCATACGGTCTGTCATTGGGTCAACTGGCGTGGTTTTGATTCCCCTGTTGTATGTGACAAGGAGTAGGGTCACCTGTCCAACCTCGTGGGTTTTCTCCGGGTCCTCCACTTTCCTCCCTTTGCTAAAGACACCTATGCGCAAGCAAATTGTTGAAATAAAATTGAACCATGTGTTAGTCCCCAAATGACCTAGTTTGTGTCGAGTGGACGTTAAACCCAATTTCTCTCTCTCTCTCATAAGGAAAAACCTAATCGAAATCCTGGAAGTTCAGCGGAATGTGGGAGGTGGGGTGGTCTGAAGCGTGCGCTCTAGATCATAAGGCCTGTCATTGAGTCAAGTGGGGGGGGGGGCGGAGGCGATCCCAGGCTTATAAATGACAAGGAATACACCATATGTTAGTCCCGAAATGACTTAGTTTGTGTCGAATGGACATTAGACCCCATTTCTCTCTCTCCCCTTTTTGTTGACATTTTGACTGTTATAATGTGTGGTGAGATTGTTCAGTATAAGGAAGAACCATATTGAATGGTCATTGCAATATTTCTAGTTTTCTACTATGGTATTCAAGGTAAAGCATTGTACATTCTTTCTTTCTTAGCTGCTGCCACGTTGTGTCTTCAGAATCTACGAAAGACCTTCCGTTATGGTGGAAGGAAGAACGTACCATTAAGAGAAGAAATCCAAGCTCTCGGTGTAAGTTTTAAATTTTTTGTTGTAGATTAATGTGTTAAGAGTTTTACAATATCCTACAGTATGTTACAAGTTTATAATATCCTATTTTATATAATGTCCATTATTTTTTTTTTGTAGGATGGTCGAAACTGTAAACGATTCCCGTTTGTATATTCTGGATCTAATTCACATGGTGGAATGTTACAAGTTAAGTCATGCACAGTAAGTAGGCTTACGTTTACATTTACACTAAAAGGCTTCATTATAATATTGTTCTTTGTTGGTGTTTGGGGTTACAGATGACATCATATGTATATATTAAACACATTAAATCATTTGAAGTGAACTGCATTTGACGTTGTAATATTCTGCACCAATAGTGTGCGCACCAGTACTGTGCTATGAGGACATTTTGCTCGGCACAGCAGCATTTCCACTTCCTCTTGGTTAGGTCTAAATATTAAGGCCACATGCAGATTTCATCAAGGTCACAAGATGTAAACAGGGCTAACGCTAACCCTAGACCTAGCCTTCCCACAATCTCGTCAACAATCACGTGCCCAAACCCTATTTACATTTCGTAACCTTGCCAAAATCTGTAGGTGATCTTAATATTTAGACCGGACCCAAGTCAGGACCACTTGGTTATTCAGACAGGGCCTTACTCTCTGAGCAACTGTGCCTTCAAATAAAGCATATAATACATTACTTGAAATATAAAATCATAGCAGTATATTTTCATGAATCTTTGTAAGCATGATATAAAAAAAGAGACTGAGAGAACAGGGTCATTTCAGGACTAAAATGGTACAATTTTATTTCAATTTATGGGTCTTAACAGTAGGAGAAATAATATGACCCAGAGAAAACCCACAAGATTGGGTGGGCAACCCTACTCCTTGTCGAGTGTGGGATTTGACACAATGACAGATCTTAGCATTAGACCATTCAGCCACCTGTAGCTTAATGCAGTGTATTTTGGTTGTATTTGATAGGTTGTACTAGATGCTATTGAAGATATCTGTAGAAATCTGAGTATTGTTGATCAAGTAGAATTTGAAGAATATACGTTATTCTTAAGATCAAGTAAGTCAAACTAATTTAGATTAATAAATTATAACTCATCATTAAAAAATGTTGGATTATTTATCTTACCCTGAATGTTGTTAAAGAGTTAAGATAGATAAGTGACAATTGGAGCATACCAGGGCTTTCACTTCTATATGTTGCCAGGCAGTCTATTTTTAATGCATTTTGTATATGTTGTAACTGCAAGATATTTTTTCAAAAGAATGTTATGATTTAAGCATTATCCCAATTTTCTAAATATATTTTAAGTGTTTTTATACATTAAAACCTTAAATCTAACTGTATTATTGTGTTTCAAGGTTAAATTCTTTGAAATTTTATGTCTTGTAAATTGACTGACAGGTAAGTCTGTCAGTTTCACTAGGCAGTCAATTTCACTGTCAGTCAGTCAAGACTGGCAAATAGAATCGAATGAGAGCCCTGAAGCTTACACTAGTGAGCAATTGTTGTCCAAGAATAATACACAATAACTTTATTGTCCATTTATCTTTTCTTCAGGAGATGGTGGAATAAAGAAATTAGGTCGAGAAGAATATATATTAGATATCACCTCGGAATGTCTTCGCAAAAAAATTGAATATGACCTCATTTTCCAGAGAACTGTATGGTTCTTCCCTGTCCATCATAATGATAATGAAATCTATATTAATCTTCTATTTCAACAGGTAAATTTCTTTTCTTATTACTTGTTATGGTTACAATGTCTTTACCCATGGTGCTAGCATCATACAAGGTCTAATCGTTCTCTTCTTCTTTTCTTTTTTTCTTCTTTTATTTGATCTGAAAATAAACTGAAATTTAAATACCTTTTAAAGTGCAAAGATTGTTTCGAAAGTACACATGTATTCTTTGAATAAATTATGACAATGATATTATTGATATTTTTTATTAATAGTGTGTATTAGATTATCTGGATGGATTATTGATAGAGATGCCAAATGGTGTTCCTTCTAGAGAAACTTTGGTATGTATAGTGCATTTATTGTCCTTGAATATCAAAAGAAAGATTAGAGTCTATAACATTTGAGATATTATTAGTTCTATGTATTGTGGAAGACTTAGTAACAATTCGAGCTCTATTATATAAACTATGTGTATAAAGATATTAATTCTATGTACTGTGTTTAATAGAAAGATATAGTAACAATTGGAGCTCTATTATATTTATAAATTCAGATATTAATTCTATGTATTGTGTTTAGCAGGAAGATATAGTAACAATTGGAGCTCTATTATATTTATAAATTAAGATATTAATTCTATGTACTGTGTTTATCAAGAAGATATAGTAACAATTGGAGCTCAATTATATCTATAAATTAAGATATTAATTCTATGTATTGTGTTTAACAAGAAGATATAGTAACAATTGGAGCTCTATTATATTTATAAATTAAGATATTAATTCTATGTATTGTGTTTAACAGGAAGATATAGTAACAATTGGAGCTCTATTATATAAAAGTAAAGAAAATGCTGCTGTTCCAAGTCTGTAAGTTATTTTATTTTAATTTTTAGTATTTTTATCAGATTATATTTTATAATATTCTTTAACTTTAGATCAACAATTTTTTTTTTATCTTCACAAGGCATATTTCCATTGCATCAATCTTGTATAATTATCTACCTTATTTGGTTCCAAATATTTATTCTCAATCCCTGGCAAGAGAAAACATCTATTTGTTCGAATGGTACGAAAAAATGTGATCCAATGTATACCATTGACAGCAGGTTAAAACTTTCTCCCATAGCACCCTGCATGGTGTATGCTTTTCTGCATAGCCTGATTGGTGCAGAAATGCCCATTTCATTTTATTTTGCTTCTCAACCACTGCCACCTAGAAATTCCTATTGTGAGACAATTCCATGTTGACTTTTGAAGTCAATGTTTTTCTCAGTGATATTAGAGATTTTCCTTCATCTAATTGAAACAAAAACCCAATTTATCCATTATTATAGGTGTATATAATGGCTACTGATCGTGTGGAATGTTTTGGTAAACTGATAATTGTTTTATATTTCAGAAGAGAATTGGACACATTAATACCTGCAAATGTTCTTAATGTACCTGGAATGAGACCACAACAATGGTTAAATAGAATACATAGTAGAATAGCGGAGTTGCCTTCAAGACCACCAATGGCTTACAGGGCACAGTTTATTGGTAGGAATAGCAGATTTATTAATGATTGAATGATTGTAATGATTGACATTTGCTAATTTAATGTAATAAGTTTTTTAAATTCTCTAAGTAGAACTTCATAGGAGATGCACAGTAATTATTTGATGAATATTATGTATTTTTTTCTTATTTTATTCATATGCTCCCATCTATGTTTCATATTTATTTTTATCTTTAGATATTTTATCTACATGGAAATTATTTGGATCAACATTTTTCCATATTAAGGTAATTTTAATCTGTTTTTTTGTGATTGTGTGACTTAAAAGATCAATTTCACCATATAATCTATTTTTAAATAGATTGTGTTCAAAATAATCCTAGACTCACCACCTACTTATCCAAAATCCTGGTATATCTTGAAACATTCATTGATATATTGATCGATTTGTCTCAAAGATATAAACAATTTGATTAAATCAACACTGATGTAACTGTATAACAAATTCACATCAAATATATATATAAAAAAATTTAACGACAAACATGCTAACCCCTCTTTAAAATCGGAAAAAATTGATGGATTTCGACAAAGTATACTTTTATTATAAATATACATAGGTATTAATATTTGTTTTTTTAAGTTAAAGTGTGGTATTTTGTATGAAATCAATTTAAATATATTAATATTTCAGAGTATACCTAATGTAACAGGACAATGTATACTGGCTGTAAATAGAAATGGTATTCATTTCCTCAGACATGACACAAGGGTATGTATGCTTTCATTTTTTAATATATTTGAAGTCAAATGAATATCTAAAGATTGATACAACTCTCCAACAAGAATTGCAACCTAATCGTCTATAATCTATGTCTTTTGACACTGGGGAGCCAATATGGCTCAGTGGGTTAAAGCGCTGGCCCACTAACCAGGAGGTCCAGGATTCAATCCCACCCAGTGTTGGCAAAGAAAGTTCTTGTGATTTTCCAGGGTGTTTTCGCTTGTCACAGCATATAGTTACTGGGATGGTATGGAAAACCATGATCCAGTGAAAATTTTCCAAATAGCACCCTTCACAGTGCATGGCATGTGCAAATCTTTATTAGCCAAGTCTCATTCTTCATTGAATATGGACACTAGATAAATCATTGATCTGTCAGCTCTATATAAATTGCCTAGATCAGTGATTCTCTACCAGTGTGCAAGATCTTCCTAAGTGTGCCGCGAAATTTTGAACGGCACACTAAGAAAATGTGAAAAACCAAGTGATATTGAGTATTCACTGGTGTCTACTCATAAATTCATTATTTAGTTTAAGTCATCCTATGTGTCTATGAACAGTCTCTGTCTACGGTTGTAGATATTTTTCATACATATTTAGCCAGGTGTGCCGCTATTTTTTTCATGTGTTCCAAAGTGTGACGTTGGCAAAAAAAAGTTAAGAACCACTGGCCTAGATTAATCAAACAGATTAGTTTGAACATCTGGTCTTAAGCCTTAGATTTTTTGCCGAAATGTTCTTTTAAAACTTGTACCATATCTTATTGACATGTCAATGAAATGTGTTTCAACTAAAATGTATATATAATACCAGGTATTTGAATTTCAGGAGGTTATTGTTTATCATCCATTCGTGGAGACGTTATCTACTCGACGTTATCGCAGTGATTATAATGTGAATTATTTAGATATGAAAGTGGGTAATTTGATGGTACAGAAGATAATGAGAGTGGAAACTGATCAGGTACGTGGTGGATTCATTACTTTCGTAATAAAAACAAGTTGATGATAATATTTACTCGTGATTAGACAAGGATGTAGGAATCATGAAAACTGTATTAATCCAACGGCCATATTCATGAATACTTAATCTAAAATATTTTAAGAATTAAGCATGTTCATTGGGTGAGAATTAAAATCCTAGTTTGATTTTTTAGCCAATGAAAAGATAGCATTCTAAAATCATTTTAGTTTAAGATTTTGTGATACTGGTTAAGAAATAAATTATGACAACAAATTTGAAATACATTCAAAATATTCCATCAGTTTTCATTATTTTGAAATGATGAACTTGCAGAATATGGCCACATGATATTAAAGTATGGGACTTTGAATTTGGTTAATCTTTATGATGAATGGCCCTCTATTTCATTTGAGGAAGGGATATGGCAAATACTGCACTTTAGATCATAAGGTGTGTCATTGAGTCAAGTGGTGTGGTTTCAATCCCACACTTGTCCGTGACATGGTCCAACCTTTGGGGGTTTTTTTCAGGTCCTCTGGTTTATTCCCACTGCTAAAGACCCCTACTTGCAAACAAATTATTGAAAATAAAAATTGTACCGTATGTTTATTCCAAAAATGACCTAGTTTGTGCCGAGTGAAAAATGACTTAGTTTGTGTCGAGTGAAAAATGACTTAGCTTGTGTCGAGTGAAAAATGACTTAGCTTGTCTTAGTTTGTGCTGAGTGACCGTTAAACCCAATTTATCTCTTTCTCTCTATTTTCTTTGTTCTTAATCATAAGATAAACTTTTTGATGTTCATTTATTCCAGGGATCTGATATCTCCAATATGATTGGTCAGTACATGCAGGTCATCAATCGACACCGTAAACGGCCCGATCGACCAAGCCCATCTCCGTATTAAATAATGGGACCGGAACAAATCTGCATGATAACATAAAATACCAAAAATAATACCCTCACTATAAGATTCTTTCAAAATGTATATAGATATAAATATGTATATTTAATACTTATATAAAAAAACAATTTCTTATTCTTGAACAAATTGTATATAGCTTATGCTATTAATATGTCTTTCATTCTTATGGAAAATTTTGCCTAGAAGAAAATGCTTAGAAGATATTAATTATTTGAAATTGTTAATTTTGAAAATAAGAGTAAAGTTTATTTTGAAAAAAAAAGAGTTAAAAAAAAAAAGTTAAAAAAAAAAAGATTTATTTTTCTTTTGAAACTGTTCATTTTGAAGAAAAAAAATAGTAAAAAAGATTAATCATTTAATTGATCTTTTGAAGAAAAAAAAAGGAAAATAAGATTTATCATTTAAGTAATAGCTCTTGAAAATAAAAATAAGATTTTTTTTTTTTCAACACATCAAAGCATAATAATATATATTTATGTATTTATATATTCACAAATAACAGAATTTATAAACACTTCAATTTCTTATTCTGGTTAGATTAGCACATTCCACATTGACATAAACTCACTAATTGTAAATATAATTGTAATTTTATTATACATGAATATCGGCAATAAATACTGCTACTTAGTAATAATTATAAATATTAAATAATGATTATTAAGAATAAAATGTTGTTTATATTAAAAAAAAATTTATTGACAAAATGTATTTATTATATTATAACTAAAAGTGCTTTTTTCATGTAAATGTATGTTTTTGGGGTTACTTGTTTTCTCTGTGGAATATTTAAGTATTGTATTGTTAGAATTTACATATATTGACCCAATTTCTCAATTCATTCAATCTTATCTAGTGTTTTAAAAACTACAAATATTTATACCTTTATATTCACCCTTTAGCACTTAGACCGCACAAATCAACCCTTAATTGTGGCGCCTTCAATGGTCATATAATAGGGAAAGCTATCTCGGGTCGCTTGGTTGAGGCAGTCTAAGGAACAGCTGTTTCAGTCTGTTCAGGGATGTACCAGTATTAACATATCCTTTATCTCTAATTTTCTTCAAGGAACTGAGGTCCATCAATATTTACATGTATCAAGTGCTAAAGGGTTAATTATATTAATTTGATTATGATGAAAGGTTCATATATTATATTATAGTGTTTTATAAATCAGGAATAATTATTAATCATTTAAATTTGCTGCATTTAGGTATTGGTGAAGGTAGTAATTAACACTTATACCATTTAATATTTTAATTAGGCCAAGATAAAAACACCTGTGTTTATGGTTACCAAACTGACCCTATTTTTTTTTTTAGCCAAAATCGGGGTCCCCTTAACTTTTTTTCCTATTTCCCAGGTGTGAATTTCTCTAGACAAATTCCAACACTGAAATTTCAGTATTATTTTCAAGAACCGTACTCAGTATTTAAGCTAGAAATGCTAGGAAATATATAATACAAACCCCACAGAAAAAAAAAGATTTTCCAACTGAACGATCCTATTTTTATTTTGGCCAAGTCACATAAACACAGGTATTTTTTTTTTCTCGGCCTTACATGAATCATTTAAACAGGAATCTTTTTATATATATGTGCATTGTGTTGTACCAATATTTCTGTATAAGTGTCCATTTAAGTAAACCACTAACCTATATTTACAAGATCTTAATTATATTATGCACCAAACAAAGATTAATACCAACTTCTATAGGCCACACCAGTTTGATTTTCTGTTTTTCAGGAACACAAAATAAACATTTTGCCTCCAATTTCTTCAGAAAAAAAACTAATTTGGAAACAAAAGTACTTAAGTATTAAGTACTGTACTTAAGTATTTGTTTTGGAATTTTAAGGAAAAATTGCACACAAGAATTGAGGATTTATTTATTCATCAAGACCCCGAACAAAAAAATTTAATTGGTTTGGCCTATTGGTAAATGAAAGTAAACTGGGAATATTGAAAATGTTTACCAAGATTAAAATGAAGAAAACATGTTTAAAACATGGAATATGTCAACGTTTTGCTCAAAATATTTTGATAGTTTAGCATAATAGTACTAATTGATATAAAAGTATTTGGGGGAAAGTTTCCTTGAAGAAAAATATTGTATTACGTGTTCAACTAGTTGTGATTGAATAGGTTTGTTTGGAATTTTTGTGTAGTTGTGAAACACAGTTGTGATGAAATACTAAACAAGTTGAGTTATGACATTTATATTCTATTTTGGGGGAGGGGGGGGAATATCAGAATATTCGTTTTTTATTTGATGAGTGGGACAAATCACTTACAAAACATTCCTTTTTTATTCCGATATGTGGGACAAACACTTATAAAACATTCCTTTTTTATTCCAATGTGTGGGACAAACCACTTACAAAACAAATGATTATTTTAGGTTTTTTGATCTATATATAATAAAAGTTATATATCATATTCTATGTGCAATCATATATCATATCATATACACATTTCAAGTTTTATATTGTCTAGTACTATATAGTTTATAAGCAATTTAACAAATATTTATATTAATCTCATATTTTTATACTGACATCACAATTAAAGTTTATAAAATATATTATACTTATTCTTTATTTTACTTTCTTAACTTAAACCAGTCTGTATTGCATGCAGTATGTATCACAAAACGTATGATACAACTATATGGACGAGTATATGAGCATGACGTCATCGCGGCAGTCTTGTAATTATGATGTTGGTACAAAACATTTGAAGTCCTTCAATCGATAACCAACTGTCCAACGAACAAGTATGCTACGTCTCATGTCAATCGTACTTCAATTGGTGGAGCCTTAGACGTTTTGAAGAACTTTTTGCCCAAAGAACAACCAGAAGAGTAGCACCTGGGGACTGGTTCCTGGTCTCGTATGGATTATTTGACAATTTATTAAAGCAAAACCAAAATATCAATAGTAGATATCTCCTGCTGATGCTGGCTTGTTTATATCATCTGCAGATAATGCTGAATTTTGAGACATTTTCAGTTTATCTTATCTTTGTAAAGACTGAATGGAATTTGACTGATGTGTCTTTTGTAACAGTTTATGTGTGGTGCGGTCCTCCTGCACTTAACTGTTATAGAGATTTAATTTGCACAATATTGTAGATTCCAAGATATTTAAAATCACTCAAAAGAGGCTTTTATGATTATTCTAAATCTATTTGCTGTCAGTCGGATTCTCTGTATTTTGTGTAAATAACTTGGGAATTATGATCATAAATATACATAAATGTTCTTTCGGTCAGTGCCTGTCAACCAAATTATTAATCTGTGGCCATCAAGACTACACAGTCATAACAACATTGATCTAGCCTGTCTCATTGGACAGAGTTTAGTGTAGGCTAAGCCACATCTAACGCTGATATGTCGGGCATTGTCTAGTTCACTCAATATCTCTGCCATCCAATGTTCTAGAGAGTAGATTATAAGCTTGTTGTGTGAATAAATGTCTATATATAGAGAATCTCCTACAAGTCTTTTTTGATATCAAAAAATATCAACACAAGCCTCATTTTTTTTTACTTTATCACCAAGTGTTGATATTTTTTGATATCAAGTAGGAGATTTTATTTATCACCCAATGCTTTCTTACATGCACAAATAAATAAATATAATTCTTCGCTATATATTTCTCTTTTACTGCACCTGATTACATTAAACACTTTAAGCCAGAAAAACGTCTGACAACAGGCAAATTTAGCTCTTGCATAAATCCTCTTTAAACAAATTGAATTCAATAAAGTAAAAAATATTTAACAGTTTATTCCCAACTTAAATAAGAAACAAGTATAAGTAAATAATGTGTTAAAAATAAACATATACAAAATAAATTTTTGGAAGATATAATAAAGACAAACATAACATGGCTGGAATAAAGTTAAATCCAGTGGCCTGCAGAGAGAAAGAGAGAAATGGAGGGGGCATCTAAATCAAAGAGTAAAATTAAAATTATTTTTTTTTTTTTTTAGATTTGAAATTATCGCCCTTACAGGCATTAGTTTGTTCTACAAGCTGCCCTGTTTAATTTAAATAAACAGTTTATTTCATCTGTTTTTACATGTTTAAAATATCTTCCTTTCTCACATTTCTCAATACTATGCCCTATAGTTGGTGGCATACAATCAAGGAGTTGGCCCCAGGCATCACCAATCTTCTGCACACCACTAGTTAAATCCCAATCAGTAAACTATAATCTCCACATATTGGTGAACTGAATGATAAATGATGAATTAAACAACCACATTTAACTAGTCATTAAATACAGATGTAACTTAATCCTTTGATGTTGGTGTACTATTAATTCAAATAATGTATGTGCAACATGCCAATCATACATTATTTATACTAGATGAAATATTGGACTTGCGTGACAATTTCATTGAAATGCTGGTGCAGGATAGTACATGTATCTGTATTTTGAGCTGTCAAATGATATTGAGCAAGACATTGCATAATATATTGAAACAACACTCAGACTAATGTCCTCATACACTATCAATATACATGTATTAGTTAATGTCTCGCTTTCAACAAATTTAAACCACACTGAAGACACTAATCTTAACTCCATATAAATGATTCCAAATGATGAATTTAAACAACCGCATTGAACTAGTCATGTAAATGATGAATTTAAACAACCACATTGAACTAGTCATTAAGGTTTCTCTGAGATACATGATTTAAACTTAATTAGAAAATATACATAAACATGAAATTATTAACAGCAGCTAAAGTCAAAATCTGGCAAGCATGCATTTATTTGTAGCTGTCTTACTATTAAAGTATCATCCACAAATCTTCATTTAGTATGTAACATAATGTTAGCATAATTTGATATCTCAAGTACTAGTAATATTGTTGCAGTCTCAAATTTGTGAGTCCCAGAAGTCTGTGGGCATTCTTGTAGCAAACCAGACAATCCATATATCTCGTTCTCAGACAATCCAATTATCCTCTTTCTCTTGTATTTTTTTTTTAAAAGCCAAAACCCTAAAATGTCATAGTTCCATCCTAAAAATGTCACAGGACTTGGCTTTTTTATGGCTTATCATAGAATATACCCCAAAAAAGGATTTGGTCTGAAAATGTGTCAGTGTTTTCGCAAACCTAACGCAATTAAATTTAAGTCTTAGTATATTTAATTTGTATTATATACTCTTCAAAAAAAGTAGGGGATATTCAGATGCAAATACCTATGCAGGTTGTGATATGATAAATAGTCATGGACACTGGACATGCTTTGAGAGTATGTTCACAGATGAAGAACTTATCGCCCCAACAAAACCAGTGAGCTGCACATGCACGCAATAGCTCCAAACACGTGGGAGGTGTTCATTGTCAAATTTGACACTTCAAGGAAAGGTTGATGAAATCTGGCGCGTGCTGGTTTATCTTATCCATGTTTGCTTTCCTATCGGTTCTTGCATAAGATTTACTGTTTAGCGTATCTTTGCTTTAGTGTGTTACATTTAATTTGCCAGCCATGAGTCCTGACCTTTCCATAGAGCATGTCTGGGACGTGTTTGTCGATGTCAACCGACAACACTGCAAGAATTGGCCGTGGCACTGCAATAGGAGTGGGTAAGATTGCCCCAAATCGTGATTGGACGGTTGATTAGGAGCATGCCATGACGAATTGCTGAATGTCTGAGGATTGGTGGAGCAATTACTCATTATTAAGACAAAAATCAAAAACGTCCATTTTCACTTTTGACAGTGTATCTCTTTGCGAGTGAAATGGGGCCGTGAGGTAAGCTGCCCATATGAACTATTTATGTTCATGTGTAGGCAATTGGCCTGTTATTAACATACACTGGTTACCTCTAATAAAAACAGAAGTGCATTTCTGCAGTTTTGTATTATTTCTGAATATCCCCTACTTTTTTTGAAGAGTATATATTATAGTTATAATTTGTAAGTCATATTATTTCAAGGATTAGATATTAACATAACATTTTAGAACTATGTTTTTATATGTACAATAATCTACAAATAACATAATCTCCATCTTAAATTATTTTAAAAAACTAATTGGTTTATACAATGGATTATATATTTGCTCAATTTAAACAACAATTGTATGAACTTCCTCTAAGAATTTAAATAGTAACAAAGGCACTTCATTGATTCTATTAAAGATAGGTTACCAGACAACGAAACATGCAAACATGTGACATAATTGATCTGTTTGACCGTTTTTACAAAAAATCAAATACAACAATCATGTAAATATTTTATTGAAATGCATAGTATCAGTAAAAAATCCATGCTATCACATAAACAAAAAAAAAATTGATCAGAAATTGTTGAAATGTAAGGAATTGGATTCTTTGTTAAATTTATGCAAAAAGTGTGTGTAAGTTTTAAATTTCTTATTTGAAGAGTTAATAAAGCCCTCATGCTTTTTCATACTTTTAAATGGTTTCATTTATTTCCATGGATTTTCAAAAAAAAAATGTTTGAATATGTACATAGAAATCCATAGAGGCCCCTTTCTTCTTTTATCTGACTAATTTAAGCAATGCATATACATGAACCAAGCAAATCATGTATCTCTCCACTCAAGAGCATCTGAAGTGATCAAGGGCAATACTCTGCTGATTTAAAATGGGATGAGTGTAATGTCATCATTGCATCAATGGTAACTAAGGCTATAAAATTTTTCAAAGTTTGGATAATAAAAGTACTATTTGGAGTACTCAAAAAGAAACTGGTGAAGATACTCTGACAGAGGACGGATTTATACAACCATCTTTAAATCTTGTTGAAGCTACACTAAACAGTGAAACAAAGAAATATTTACAAAAAATTTTTAAAAAAAATTATTTCATCGTCAAGCAATTTCTCACATTTTTAATTTATATTTTCCCCATTACAATAGAATATTCAAATTTTCAACAAAATAATCCACAAATCTGGATGAATAATTTCAACATTAATTGCTATTAAGGCCACCATGATGTATTGGCATACTTCTGAGGCAAAACTCTATGGATGATTCCAATTTTGGTACCAAATCATTTACTATGTGTTACAATATGATGTGTATTGCCCAATCAAATAGCTTTTTACTAACATCTCCCTCAGTCTCCCTATTATCACCCTTGCATAGATAATAAATGTTTAAAATATATATCAGTCTCATACAATAACATATCTATACTGACATCCAAACTAAACAACACCAAGATATGTTATAAAGCAACATAAAAGGTAATTGTATCATCATAATACAACTAATGTTCCAATTTTGAATCTCCTTCAGTTTGGTCCAGGTGAGGGATTTGATAAATAAGGAGAAGTTGTATCATAATGAGAATGATTCCTTTCATTCATAAGACAAGGGTTAGAGTACAAGATTTAGAATCTATATAGAGCTTCATTGTAAGTAGAATACACAATTACAGTGACTTTTGACCATTTGTCAATGACATGTAAAATAGAATATGCAAATTATGAGAAGCGATTTTCAGCATTAAGGAGATCGTCAACAGACTCTCGTTGATTGAGTATTGGATACTCGTAATACTAGACAAATAATTAAATAAGACCCAAATTCTCAACTATTGTAAGTTCATAATGGAATGTTCAAAATGAAAACCTTTAGTCAATCTTTTGTTTATCTTCTGCTACTTGTACAAGAGGCAGAACTACTTTCTTCCACTGATCATGCCATCTCACTGCTTGAAAAGTTTTAATATTTCTACGCATGGCCGTTAACTTTGATTGGTCAGCAGGGAAACCATTCAGTAATTCCTATAAAATAATAAACCATCGAATATAACTGAAAAATGTACCAAAAAATCATCGTTACACAATATATCAAATTAATAATAAAATGCAAGTTGTTAACTGGAGGGAGAAAAATTGCTAAAAATGGTATATAGGAATAAAGTCTGCTTCTTGAGGATCTATACATGACAATAATAAGATTTCAAAGCTGACAACAATCTCGGTGGTATAAAAGTACATCATATAAAGACTCATTGCATCATTTTAGTGCAATATGAATCACTTGCAAACTACAATATCAGTCCAAAAATGGTTCAATTCAGTTCAGTATTCACAAAGATATGCTGAACTGAAATTTCATCAATCTATACTGCTGCTTGCTATGTAACAATCCACCGCCATTTTGTTTTGGGCAAACAGAATTAATAGGCCTTTTCTTAAATCTGATTGAATCCAAGCTGAGAGGTTATCGCGTGTTTGTATTTTGATTTTGATATCTTTAATAAATGTTAAATAATCAATCCAGGTAAATATTAGTGTGAATTAAGCCGTGAGAAATTTGATATTTTAGCAAAAAATGCAAATTCCATATTTCATCTAAAAATATATCTCTTATAATTCTGTGTGCTTGTATCATTTGTTCTATTTGTATTAAGTTGGCGGCATGGTTAGTGAGTAAGATGTAACTCGACCAGAAGAATAAGGATATGATACGGGGGGGTGGCCATCAAATGGGCACAAAACCAGACCCAACTTTTCTAGAGTAAAATTTTGCGTAGAATATGATGCCGAGTGGTAATCATAATATCTCGAAAACACCCCAACGGCGGACTGATTACCACTCGGCATAGTATTCTACGAAAAATTTTACTCTAGAAAAGTTGGGTCTGGTTTTGTGCCCATTTGATGGACATCCCCCCCCCGCTGAGCCTCCAGACTATACCCTTGTTAGTTGTTGCAGGAAAGAAAGTCTGTCAAGGAACATTGTATAGTCATTCAGTGGGCAAGCACATTAAAGAGCCATTGACAGTTGGAATTTGAAATAAGAGCAGACTGTAGTGCAGGTGTTCAGGCAAAATTTCTCTAATAGAACACAGCGTGATCCATGCCTGTTTTCATTAGCCAGGTTGGTGAAGAACAGAAGGACATTAAACCCCATTTCATTTCAGGTATGATGTGTTCTATCTATTCTCCTGTGTTGTCTGGTAAAGAGTAAGGTCCAGGATATGTTTCTGAATACAAATACTGTGGTCTATACATACCACTTAATTGTTGGCACTATCACTTCTTTAGAAACGGATGATAAATAAAGCTGTTTCACACACACATCACTTACCTTAAGTTGGCTACTTAAAACATCACTATCACTAAATATCATACCATTTTTATTATGTTGAACTAACTCAGTTAAACTAAAAAGATCAGAAAACTCATATGAAATATTATATAATAAGTAAACATTTTTTCAGCTATCTTTTATCATACATATATCAGAGAGATAGAGCGAGAAATGGGATTTAACGACAAACATTTTGTTCAATTTTATTTCAATAATTCGTTTGCTTTTAGGGGTATTTAGCTGTAGGCAGAAACCTGAGGACTCAGAGACAAAACAAAACACAAGGTTGTGTAGGCGATCCTACACCTTGTCATGTAAAAGTGTGGGCTTGAAACCACCCATTACTTGACTCAATGACAGACGTTATGATCTAAAGCGCACAGGTTAGACCACTGTTGCACCAAACCCCGGTAACAAAATGAAATGGGGTTTAACATCCTACTGTTCAGCACTGACTGGGCTAATAAAAATGGGCATACACCGTAGAGTGTGCTATGAGAGAAATTTTGCCGAGCTGCTGCACTACTGCCTATTCCTATATCAAATTCCACCTGACAAGGGTTCTTTTACACGCATGCCAATGTGTACACAGGACCTCGGTTTTTCATCGCACCTGAACAATTATACGCTGTCCCTTGCCAGGCCCAATATCCTGCACCACGGACAATAGGGAACCATGTTGGTCTATACTAAGATCAAACACGGAGCCTCCAGGTTATCAAGCCAACATCTTAATCACTGAGCCACCATGGCTCCCCATCTGGAACATAGGATAACACTTGTATAATACAAATTTGCCATGGTTCTTTAACATACATGCCAACGTGTACCAAGGACCTCAATCTTGCATTCCATCTGAATGACTAGACCCTGTTCCATGCTATAAGCTCTTCATCCTGCACTACTGAAATGGGGAAACCATGCTGGCAAATCCTGAGTTTTTCATGCAACACTGTAATCAATCCCAGAACCTCTTAGTTAGTGATCCAGTGCCTTACACACCAAGCCATAAGGACTTTTGTATAAGGCTTTTTGGGTATACACATTTATATCACAGAGAACTGCACTACTGTGAGGCCCTAATGTAATATTCTAGCATAATACTAAGTCATTTCTTTTATTTGAATCATATATAAGCATTTTCTTTGACTCACCAATTAAAATTCACAGCACAAACAGGAAGACCACAACCAAACATATCAACAACTTTCATTGGTAGATCTAAGCCACTAGATGATTTGTGTAAACATACACCAAGATCAGATGACCCTGAAATAAAACAAACTTTTAATATTCTGTCCTTCCGCAGGACTAATATTGTAGATAATTTCAAAACTAAACTTAAATGATTGGACATCCTTTAACAAAATCAAAAATATACTCTGCACTATCTAAGAAATGAAGCGCTCATTTTGGAATCTAAGAGGTTTCTCTTTTCTGAAAGGGAGAGGGGGATCAGCAAGAGTCTTTGAAAGAATATCAGGGACTGGACAAATCGGTAGATCTGTCTTAAAATCCAAATCAATATGATTAAACTACCACTCTATTTTACATAAAGTCTGTCGAGCAGGGATTATTCCATATTTTTTTTCCATAACAAATTACTGTATTCTTCGGAACACTACATGATACATTTTTTACTAATCATTTGAATTTCTGGAAGGGGCACACCAAATGCATGATATTAAGCAAATGTGGGGTTTTCCGGTGTCAACATATAAGTTTGAAGATGAAGAAACAATTGTTTATGAAAACAGGTGGACCATATCGGCATGCCAGTATGCCACAAGTCAATAATATTAACACTTCACTCTATGAACTGTTCATTTCCCTATCCATTTATATATTTTATAACAATGTTTTTACTTGAGGTTTGAATGTGCATAATTGCTGACAATTACCTAATAGAACAGGATAATCTTCTGGTTCTAACCATGGTAAACAAAAACTAACATGGTTCCATTCAATGTCATCAATTTTTTGTCTGTAATGTTCTTTTAGTGGACCTTTTCCTGTAATAATATATAATTTTTTTCATATTGGTTAAAACTCTGTTCCTTTAGGAAGTTTTTAGCATCTACATGTTTCATCTAGCATTTAATAACAAAATAGAAGAATTTCCCAAAGATTACACACATACTAAAATTTGAGACTAATCTGCCACAGAAAACTGAACATGTCGAATGAAAAGCAAATCTGGTAGTTGGAAAGACATAACACTTAGAGCACACATCTTGGACACTCTTTCAATGTGAGAACCGAAATGAACGTGCAATGTGCTATAAGGGAAATTTTGCCAGCGTATCGGTCTACTCTTCATAAGTCCAGACTGTCAAGGGTTCTAGTTTACCACAGCAACTTGTACACAGAACCTCAGTTTTCGTCCCATCCGAATGACTGGGATTGAACCCGGTACCAACGCATTAATCACTATGCCATCTCTGTTCGTCCTGAGGAATATAAAATAAACTTCCTACCTGTAATAACACATAATACACTAGGTAAAGGACAATCATTGGCTTCTACAAACTTCTCATATTCTGAAATATAAAATAGTTAGAAACTTAAGTCACACATACTTCTACAAACTATGTTTATTCTGAAATATCTGTCTATTTGACCAGGACAGCTATACACAGGCTATACCTGTTATTTTATTCAGTAAATGATTAATTAACCAAGACCAATATTCAAGATAGATAACTTCATTTATCATACATATTTGTATCAAGATATTAAATGCTGTGCATTAGTAAACGATTTTCTCTATCAAGATTATTCAAAGGTTAACATCAATAATTTGTTGCTACCTACCTTGTAATGCTGATAATAAGAGTCCAAAATCTTCATCCTCTAACAGGGCAAAAAATATAACAATATCAATTAATCAAAAATTGGGGAAATAATGCCAAAACGAACAGGCAAGTGTATCATAAGTCTGGTGCAGAAAAGTAGGATGTTAAACCCCATTTCATTTCCATCATAAGTCATGAATTGAATACATGTACATCAAAATCAAAATATATTAAAATTGCAAACATCTAAAGACCCATGGTACAAGACAATCATCATATTATTATTTCAGCAAATAGATATGTGTACATCAAATATCTGATAATGACATCAAATCCATCTTGTATCCAAATCACTGACGTCTCAGAACACAGTTTAGATATAGATATATGGATTGCCATATTTACATGTTCCATAAACCTTACAATTCTTATACAAAAGTATCAAAATAATTTTTTAATGGCACCCATTCAATTTGCCACTCACAGTAAACAACCATTAGTCAATTTATTGGGGGAACACAAAACTAATTTTGTATCAAGTTCCATTATGTATGCAAAATAATTATCATTTGATGATTTTTGTTATACTTATAGATTTAGATATTAAACAAACATTTGAAAACAATTTAGACGATTCATAAAATATAGATGTTTGTAACATCATTGAAGTCTCAAAAATAAGAAGGGTAGAAAAAAATGTGTCAGGGGAAATAACTCCATACATTTTCCCCCCTTTTCTTCAAATCACCAATTGACAAATGCATTAAAACAAATATGGAAATGAAATTAAAGACTGAATCATTCAGAATTAAAACATGGGAAGTCAAAAATTCCAATCAAATTAAATATGATCCTTTGATTAAATCACAATTTTCTATTAAACCAAATCAACAATTACAGAAGTTTTGGTGTGAGAATAACACAAATTCTATGCACTAAAGACCAACGAGTAGCAGAATAAAATAAATACTGTTGATATAACATAAATATAACTAACCTGTCCAACTGGTACTGCTAATAATTAATGCCGGTCTGTTTTCTTGGTAACTTAACTCACCAAAACTATTTTTGATAGTAAATACAGTTTCTTCCCTACCACTTGTTTTAGATTTACTGTAAAAATAATTAATAATAATCTCCATATTTTTCAAGGAGGTAAGAATCTTTTATTAATGTCTTCATACTAATCAATATATAAAATATACAATGAAACATAAAAGATACATTATGGGAGATTAGATAAAGAGCTGGCAGTTCTCACTATAATAATTAAAAACTAGATACATGTAATGTAAAGGGTATTTGCTGAAAATTTCAGTCAAATTGATCCACTCTGAACCAAGAATTTAGCGATTGAATTTTCAGTCTAGCCTCGATCAGCATTACTTAATTCAGTATGATAAAAAACATAGTCTCGATTATCCATTTCATGATTTAATCATGAATGAAAGCTGAGCAGCAAATCGGATTCTACTCCAGCAAATATCGCAGGTTAGTGATGACATCGAGAGTTGATTATGGTCTGGATAAGTTAATTAATGTCTAATTAATAATTTAGATAACATTTCAGGCCTAAAGAAAAAGGACCTGCAATACACAGATTTAGCTCTTGCATAATGTATGTTTAACATCCAAGAATAAAACATATACAGGGGAGGGGGAACGTCAAAACTCCCTTAAAAGAGCAGAGTTTTGACAGGTCGATAAATCTGTGTAGCTGCTGGATCAAAAGTTGATGCAGGTGAAAAGAGTAGACAATTCAAAAATCCCCGCAAAACAGTAGAACAAAACAGATTTTAAGTTGAATAGAGATATGGTTTATTCATAACGTTTCGGGTTATACGTCTGTAATCAAGAATAACTTATAATGAATTTATTTTGACCGTGTATTTGCATTAACATGGAACTGTGTTAAATTCTTCAAGACAATCAAAGACAAGATTTCTATGTAACCATCAAAATAATATGAAAAATGCAGTGATACAATAACCATGATACATTAGGTAAATGCATTATGTAAAATTTAGATAAGGAGCTGGCCATTTTGCTATAATAGTTCAAAAATAGATAATGCCAAATGAATATACTGAAAATTTCATTTGAATTACTTTATTCTGAGTGAAGTTATTACTGTTTGAAGTTTTGTGGGATAGATTTTCTATTATCATACCAGCGGTACTTGTTACTCGAGACTAAACCTTGATTCATGATTTTTAAATCAAATCATTAATGTGAATAAATGTCCAAATAATACTTTATATAACATTTGAAGCCAAAATAAAGACCGGCAATAGGCAGATTTAGCTCTTACATAATGCATCTTTAACATGCATTTTGATTAAAATCCTTTAGTGGCATTTAGCAATTGGAAACATAACAAAACTATACAGTTATATGGGACAACAATCACTGGTTTATTATACACAAGCACAATGTTTCGATAAGTATTCTCTTATCGTTATCAAGCACAATGACATTTAGTAAACTTGAGGGTCTATATATATGTACAATGTGAAACCAAGTGATTGTTGTCCCATATAACTGTATAGTTTTGTGTCATTTTGATTAAAACAGAAGAATATTTTGAGTGGGGAAATGCAGTTTTTGTTTGGTTACCTGGGTTTAAAGGATGTATATTCTTTAGCTAGTTTAACAAATAGATCATGTCGAGCAGCTAATGAAGCTTTCTGAAATTTGGGAGGTGGACGATCATATAATGTTACAGCCCTGAAAATAAATATAGACTTTATCTCATTATATATACATGTACTAAAGGGGGTCAAATGGTCTAATGCGTTATTGAGTCATTTGGTGTGGTTTCGATCCCAAGCTTTTCTGTGACAAAGAATAAGGTTGTCTTGACTGTTCAAATCTATATAATTCTTGGCCATCCGATGGTCTAATTATAGGCGTACAAAATATTTCACTTTAGCCTTTATTCAGCCTGACCACTTGACGTCATGAAGTCAAAATGACATAGACCGTTTAAGGTTTAAGGTGGTGTGGCCTTAAGGCAAATCACATGTTTTTCGGCACACAAATGAAATTTTGTAGATCATTATGATTTACAAATTGCTTTATTATAAATATATAAATAGTTGTTCTCACTCTATTCCCCAGCTCTTCTTTAAATCACCTTTCATAGCATTTGTTACACATAAGTTTATTGATGATAATCTCCCAAAATAACTCTCATACCTAAAATACAGTTATGGTACTACAGGTAACTATATTAGTACATACTTCATACAAATGGTACTACATTACATACATTATATACTTCATACAAATAAGGAAGCCACAGTGGCTCAGTGAGTAAGACACTGGCTCGTTAAGCAGGAGGTCCCAGATTCCATTTTGGCGTTGGTCAAGAAAGTTCCTTGTGATTTTACCTTCCTTGTCAGGGGGGAAGGGCAGTCATTTGGACAGGGAAAAAAAAAAATTAACTATAATACATGATCTAGGCTTACAGGTGTGTTCAAGGCACTGCACTCGTCTTTCTAGGATATCATAAAGACTTTTAGTTCATGACCACTCTGGTTTTTGGTGTGTATGTGGATTAGGATAAACACGGACAAAGGCCTACTAGCATGAAGTATATTAAATCTATAAATACATTAATGTTTTATGTAAATCTATCCATTGTATCAATCCTTTCTTAAATACTGAAATAATCTGAGATATATAAATTCAAAATACAAACCATTTTGAGAATCTAACCAAGAGATGAGCTGGATCCAGAGCAAGACTTAAAATAGTAAAACCATAGTTATGCCAGTCTATCAACAATTTACTGGATCTAAGCAAACAAACAATCCAACTAATGGCTATAGTAGGAATAGACGGAGGATTCTACAAACAAAATATATAAATAATTATATAAACATACATTCCAAACTTTTAGTGACTTGGAAAGATGAGTGGTTGGGTGGTCTAATGTGTGCACTTTATATCATAACATCTGTTATTGAGCCAAGTGGTGTGGTTTCAATCACATTTAAGAATGTGATAAGGCCTAACCTCGCGGGTTTTTTACATGCCTTTCGGTTTCCTGATACCACTAAAGAACCCTACACACAAGCGAATTATTGAAATAAACGAGTAGTTTGTTAGTCCCGAAATCACCCAGTTTTTGTTGAGGGGACATAAAACCTCATTTCTCTCAAACGCCAAGATATTTCTGTTTAGTCATCCAGTAAAAAAAAAAAAAGTTAAGCCTTTGTCCAAGATTAACAGGTATATTATCAACATCATATAGTTTATTAGCTGAAAAGATGTCTTTAGATAATGTAAGATATAGAGAATCTCCTACAAGTCATTTTTTATATCAAAAAAAGTTGAGTTGGAGATTTTATTTATCACCCAATACTTTCTTACGTGCTCAAATAAATAAATATAATTCTTTGCCTTAGATTTCACTTTCAATGAACCTGATTACATTACGGCGAAGTGATACATCATTTTTTGACAACAATTCAACCATTGCAAAGTCCTTTATATTGACCCAGTGTTTCCATCAAAGTCAATTAAATAAAAATAATTCATTTTTAATGAAAAAGAAGTTACTTTTAATAAAAAATGAACTGTTCTTTGAAAATACAAAAAAGTAGTTCCTTTTTAACTGACCAATCAAATTCATGTAAAGCGATATCTCCTATGGATTATGAAATTTATCACACAAGCAATATCTACTGTAGAATGTATTATTGGGTGATAAAAGCCTATCTTACCTGAAGCAAAAGAAAACCTGACTTTGGCAACAGTAGCAAAATCCATCCTAGATTTATACTCTGCCACAAAACTTTTAATACATAGCCAAGAAGTTTGGGTAATTCTAAAAAAAAAAAAAATGAAGAAATGAATTTCTAAGAAATTATATCATATAGCCAAACCAAAATGAATACAGGCAAAGTGGTGCCCTACTGAATTTCCCTCTACTATTATAATCACAAACACATATTGCATCCATGTCAAGTTAATACTATAATATAGTGCTGAAAAAGTAAACATTATTTCATCAGCTTTAAATAAACATATTATTAAAAAAACTTAGCAAAAACAAAAATTGAAAATGAAGTAAATTTGTAGCAAAAATGAATTATAAATGCCGAGATTTCAGGCAATAATATTGACTGTAGACTATAAGATAAATGTACAGGTAAGATGAGATTCAGCATGTTAGCAGTGATGACACTTTAATAAGTCATCAGAATTTTGATCTTTTGTGAAATCCCTTTTTTAACTGGGAGTAAATTCTCAAATTCTACCTTCTTACTTTATGTCTCTTAAAGATCACCTTACTTTGGTGCAATTGAACCCGGCTAATGTTGACATTCCATTAAAAAACATTTCTTTCTAAAGTTTGATATTTGTATCACTATGTCTATATGATGAACCTTTATATAGCTTTGAAAAAGGAATAGATTAGTGCTGGGTATTGCCACTGAAGTCAGGTGCTACGATACGATCTGTAGCACGTTTCATAACCAGGTCAATATTTACCAAAAAAACAACAGGATAAACAAATAATTGATATTTCTAGTCATGAAGATGTCGAAGAAATAAAATTGTTTTAAGTTACGATATCGACGTCGATTAAATAAGGACCAAAACAATTTAAGAATGTTTGTGTAATTATGGATAATGTGTCACATGGTTAATTAAGAGTGACAGGTTACTTACTGCAGCGGTACAAAAAGACATGAAAAAAGAATAAAGAGAGATAGATACAGCATGAGAATTTTAAAGACCACGTAAGATCAAAAATCTAAATTACAAGTATGTATAGCCCATGGTTATTATATCAACTTTACGGCAACTTCTCACCAATCTGATTAAAATTAAGTCGGCTGTTAACGTTTAAGTGTCCGACACGCCAAAACGCTTTTCAATTTTTCAATTACGACCTTAATCCGGTTGATTGGCTGGTGACGTCACAGGCACTACACATAGGATATACATTATCTATACAATATCTCACCGTCTGTACAATATAGCACTATCAATACACACGGCAAGTTGACAAGCGTCTGTTGACGGTCCAATTACCTCGTGACTGGCCTAATCATAATCACCGAATTATCGTCTTTCATTTGTGATTGGAATATTTTAGAGTGAATTTCAAATGCCGTATCATGCCGTAAATCCATTTAAGCTGCCTTTGTTTAAATAGGCCACGTGTCAAATGAAGACGACTCAAGAAATTAGCACACTTACCGGTAATTTAGATAACCCCGTAGTACTTGATATACCAAACGTACAGAAATACAAATGGTGCCAGTCATTTGTCGATATATTCATTATTAGCTATATATAATAATAATAACCATTTCTATACATAAAGAACAACTTTTATCGTAACTCAATTTGAAATTTACAGTGAATATGGAATTTTCCGATGACTATGCATAACATGTACAATAGATCGCCCTCATTTCTCAGCCAATCAACTCTGGGAATCTTATTACCATTTACGGTTACATGTACTACGGATGTAGTAAATGAGGTTAAACTCTGGCACGAAAATTGCACGGGATCATACGTGGAGTTCCTGGTGCCGTTTGGTGAGTGATTAAACTGTCAATGCAATTGCAAAATACTTTTATTAAAAAGAAGATAAACGATTGTTGTTTAAACGCCAATCAACAAATAATACGAGGCTACTTGATTACAAAAACACTGGTCAGCAATAATTATTGGGTAAATAATAATTATAAACAACTGATGAGTAAAACTTAATGGTTTTATACAATTAATGTGTGGGTGTACGATTCTACCATTAGTTCGTTCATGAGGTATTATGCACACGTTCCACTTAGAGTGATGTCTTTGATCTGGCCGGCGTAAAAAAAGATAATTACCTAATCAACATTCTTAATCCAACTAACACTCACTGCTAACACCGACGTGTAAATTAATTTATAACCCATGCCTGTATAACTTTTATAGTCGGATTGATTAATTAATGACAAATAATAACGACACTACACTTTATGTGGAAAAGCGAAGTGCTCGCAGTAAAAAACACATAGCTGGACCGGTATATTATTTACATATTAAAAGTGTCTGTCCAATAAGTTCCATATTGTAAAAAATTAATTAAGAGTTCAAGACTTCAAAGTTTAAAAGTTGTAGGCAATCTAAATTGGATCTTAAATTAAAATGAATTACAAAACGAATTATTCCGTAGTCAATTGTTTTATTTAATTAAGAACTAAGGGAGATTAAGGAATCAGTCAGGCGTTAATGAGTACACACGCCGGCTGTATATAGGTAATTAAGGAATAAAAATTCTGAATATGCATTCGGTCACTGTGACGTCACTGGCATCTGAGGGGATTAAGAGTGTTTTCGATAACTGGCAAAGTCGTTTTCACGGGAGGTCCATTTTTATGACTTTGAGTGAAGATAACTGAATTAATTTCAATCAGATTGGTGTGAACTTGCCGTAAAGTTGATATAGTAACCATTGGCTACACATATCCAAAAGTTCCCAAACCCATCTTATGTGCACTTTAAGGTGAATCGTGATACGTTAATTCAACGATATATCGTGCCAACACTAGAATATATACTGCCGCACGGTACCTACATAAAAGTACAGCTTACTTTTTATAAAGTGTGGGGGCTCTGTTAAATGACTAAGTCTTATTTTATCATTTCCTTCTATTTGTTCAATTGGCTTGGAGCCTGAAACAACAAACAATATCGATTAGTCAATTAGTAAATAAGTCAAACATGTCAAGTATACTTTTACAGGTGAATGTAAGGGGATATGCAATTGAACATTCTAGAATTGAATTCTCTCAATCCCCAAATTAATGACAATCAATTAAGTGCAAAAGGGGATTTCGGGCTAATGCACTAACAAAAGCAAATATCTCCACCAACCATCACAGCTAAAAGATATTGGTTGTGTTTAATAATGTCACAATTTTACTCACACCACCTCCGTTGTCGGGATTGAAAGAACTGTTACAGGATTGAATTCCACTTCACTTGATTGCAATTCGGTCAATTCGGGACATTCAGGACTAACTCAGTAACTGAGTACTCAGTAACTGACATTTATTGTCAATTCACGACAATTGTCCAATTGAGCATATTACCCAAAGTTTTGGCATGTGGGAACCAGTTTTATTTGCTTAATTATATCTGAATTTACACTTGTCATTCTGTACATCATGTAAGAAAAGAACAGAATGTTGCCAATGTTAATTATTCTAAATTAAGTGATATACCTCCATAACCAACCATATCCACATTGTAACCTTCTTCTGCAAAGGACACTGCATGATATTGCATTCGAGGACTTCTTCCAATATCCCCTAATACAACAATACATACACTCGTTTTACCTTTCACATGGTAGTTGAGTAACAGATATAATAATATAAAAACAAATGGTGCAACAATAATAATCTGCAATGTATACAGCATGATCTCTCTTCACACGTGTAAATGCAACAGGAAAATATGAAAATGTAAACACAGCCTAAGGCCACTTAGATCATTGACAAATACCTTATCCAACAAATTATCATAAATATATAATTTCTGAGGTAGAATTTCTCAAAGAAACATAAATCATAGTTAACCAATTGATATTTTCTTCTAATTAATACTGATAATAGATTAAATAATTTTTATTACAAATGTAAATGTTATAAGCGATAGTAGGTGGCAAGGGAAGATAATTGACCACGCCCACTGCTGTGAAGAATGTTGTTTATAATTATAATGCTGTAGTAAATGCAAGAAATATTATGATTTAACAGAGTAAAAATATATTTGCGTAAAGATGAATCAAGACACTGATGATAGTGACAGCGATAGTTTAGTGAGCAGTAGCTCTGAAGGCGAATTTCAGGTGAGTATTTTATTAGAATCATAAAAGTGAAGCTCCAATATTGTTTGTTGTGAGTATGACAATTGACAGCTTTATTTGGAGTTTAAGTCAAACACGCCCTGTTGCATATTCCTGTTGGTGTTAACAGTAACAGCAAGCCAATTTTTTAAATTCCCTGATTGTACGTGACAAGGAGTAGGGTCGCCTGTCCAACCTCTTGAGTTTTCTCCGGATCTTCCAGTTTCCTCCCACTGCTAAAGACCCCTATCCGCTATGCAGGAGCGAATTATTAAAATAAAATTGAACCATGAGTTAGTCCAGAAATGACCTAGTTTGTGTCGAGTCGACATTAAAAACCCATTTCTCTCCCTCTCCCGGGTCCTCCGGTTTCCTCCCACTTCTTAACACCCCTACGCACACGCGATTTATTGAAATAGAATTGAACCATATGTTAGTCCTGAAATGAACTAGTTTGTGTTGAGTGGATGTTAAACCTCATTTCTCTTTCTCTCTCCCTTTCTTTCTTCCTAAGACCAGGGTAATGAAATGCAAGGTACAGAGAGAGAGAGAGAGTATGGTTCAATTTAATTTTAGTAATTCGCTTAGGAATCTTTAGAAGTGGGAGGAAACCGGATGATGAGGAGAAAACCCACGAGGCTTGATAGGTGACCCTACTCCTTGTGAAGTACAAGTGAGGATTCGAAAAGATGCCACTTGACTCAATGACAGACCTTAAGATTGTCTAAGAGAGAGAGAGAGAGTATGGTTCAATTTTATTTCAATAATTCGCTTAGGAATCTTTAGAAGTGGGAGGAAACCGGATGATGAGGAGAAAACCCACGAGGCTTGATAGGTGACCCTACTCCTTATGAAGTACAAGTGAGGATTCGAAAAGATGCCACTTGACTCAATGACAGACCTTAAGATTGTCTAAGTCAGAAAACAAAGTTTAACATTACATACATATATGTATAGGTATTTATATTATGTATGTCATCCCTGTTGAAAATCTGTTTTTAATGTCTTGTCTTCTGCCTTTAACTTACAATGTATCATATATTCAGTTACCTGAAAATGATGAACCAAAGTTTAATTTTGAATGGAACCCTGAACCACCAGCAGGTTTACATTTCATGTGTCTGGTTCCATTTCATCAAGATTATCAAGCAAACTACAATCAGTCTTCTCACATCGGAAAAATTAAAGTTTCATCTTCACACAGACAACAGCGAATGAATGAATTCAAAAGTGGAAGAACAACTGGTAGAAATTTTCTAGGTATGTATTACATGTATATGAAGTATTCATATTATGTTATAACTATTAGGTTTGTCCATCTACCTGTGAAAGATTCATTATGTAAGAGCTAAATCTGCTTATTGTAGGTCTTTCTTTTGGCTTCAAATGCTATATAAATTATTATTTAGAAATTTATGCACCTGACAAGCCTAAAATTAGCTCTCTAGCCTATTGGATAGCTGAGATTTAAATGGATTTAAACACTCAAGATATTTAAAAATTTAACAATAAGATGGACAATTGAGTCTTAGTCTTGTTTGTCAAGTACCATGATAAATGATCTATCTTACATCTTTAAACAGTCTTAAATTCGCCCTGAATAAATTATTTTTAATAAAATTTTCAATATATTCATTTTTTATACGCCCACATTTAAATGTGGTTGTATATTGTCGTCGCCCCTGTTCGTCTTTCAGTCCGTTCGTCGGGTTCGGCTTCCACAATTGCTTGTGTAATTCAACATTTTCTTGAATTAATTGTATTTATGCTTTAGTCTTGTTAAATATTTGGTGAATATGGTAGCGTCAGAATTATCATCATAGAAACTGATAGCTCGAACGTGTGTAGTTTTAAAATAAACAAAAACTGAAAGTAGTTTATTAATCTCAATATTTAGGAGAGCGATTAGCTAATTTGCAGGAGTCTTTAATGACTCCCGCGAAGGTAAGTCGAGGTATTTCAAGATGTCAAGAGGAGCAGGAGCGAAAGTGCACCTTAAACGTGAAGGATTGAGCTATAAATAATGTTTAAAAGAGATGATCTATGGTCTGCATAATCATACACAAGACATCAACTTTTATTTTAGTGTGTTTTGTTGTGTGAATTGGCACTTGTTTCATTGTGTGTGTCATTTCTGATTTCATGCACGTAAAAAATATAATCAAATTATTATTATGTTTCATTTCACAGATGAGAAGAAATTAAGGAATGCAGCAACACAAAATAATCACCAATTAGGTAATTTCTTCATACTGTTATCTATTTTGTAAAATTTATTTGTTTAATACAAGCCAAGACAGTTCAAGTAATGTTTATTTATAGTTGATAAAAATAACAGTACAACATAAGCTCTAGTGAGCTTTTAAAATCTAAAATCAACTGTATACATTTTCAGAATTTATTCCTTCATACAGTTATTATTTTGTAAAATTAATTTTTTGAAAACCTTCATGGAATTTATTATTTACAAGATGAAATTCGGTTCTGCCTGCCATGAACTGAACCTGTGAATCCTTAGAGGTTGTAGTAGGGAATTCCCCCAGGACAATCTAAGCCTCCCCAGATATAAGTGCACCTGTTGGAGTGTTGGAACATTGGAACAAAATCATTTTGCGCTGTCAGCTTAGCAGCCAAAATAGGTCCTAGGGGCTTGTTTCCCAGAAAATATACAAACTAATGAACACATATTTGCAAAGTATTGTTGAAAGAAAATGAAGCCACCCCACCCCACCCCATAGGCGTAGAGGCTTGATGAATAATAGGGGGGGGGTGACAGAACCTGAAATGCCCCCCCCCCCCAAATTGGGTTATACACGGCTATGACAACGGAACAGAGCTAACTGTATAGGACACACAACACACACATCCATCCGTCTGAAAGGTAATTTGGAAAATTTGAAGGCTGCAAACACATTTTCCTGGCATGAATCATGATATTGAGAACCTAACATTTTCTATTTGTAACGTAACACCTTTCTACTTTTCATGAATAAAAATGAATAGTCAGACTTTTTATGCTCCTTAATGCTGTCACTTGTGAAAAAATAAAATAGATATTTGAGTAACTTCCTTGTTGAATAAGTATGCCAAGAATAATATATAATATAAAGTAGACAGTGTGTGACATTGTATACATGTACATATGTATAACTTCCATGATAAATATATGGTTGGTGTAGTTCATAATTTATAAATTTGGATCATGGCGTGACTTTTAAATTTTTTAATAACTAGAAGCCTTTTATGAAGTGTGTTTCACCGGTGTCCTTTTACCAAGATAAATCTAGAGATATCAGATAAATTTATACATAAAGTGGTCCTGTGATACATAGGTGTACAGGTTTGATGAATGTTAAGCGGCCGGGGCAGAAGCTTGGACTTGGATTTTAGAAGCCAACTTCTTCAGTTCAAAATAACACCATAAAGGAATGAGAAGTGACATCTGGTGTTTTTGAAATCTTTATTTCATTCTATTCAGACCGTGAATGGTGTAAATACACCAACTTCAAAGAGGTCTAATATAGCCTAACTTACCGGGAATTCTCGTATTTAAGCCCTGGGCTTAATTTCAAATTTGACCATGTCAGTGATGAAACATTTCTTTTGAAATTAAGCCCAGGTCTTAAATTCGAAAAGAGGAAAAAATGACAAACATATGGGCTTATATTCGAAATTTAAACTCGTTATTTAGCCCATGAGCTTAATAACGGCAGGGCTTAAATATGACGATTCCCGGTAGGTGGCTGACTCAAATTCCAATCAACCAATCATTCGTTTACAGTCCACGGAGATGGGACCGATGGGAGGAAATTTTGAAAATTTAACTGCCGCAAATGCATTTTCCTGCTATTCCAGGCTATAAATACAGCAAGTTCAATTTGGTCTAATATAGCCTACCTTATGTGACTTACCTGAATCCCAAACAACCAAGCAATCGTTGCTGGGTATGGGGCCCCCACGCTCCCCGAGAAGATTTTGAAAATATAGCCGCCCCAAATGCATTTTCCTGCTATTCTAGCCTGTGAATTAAGCAACTTAAAAGTTTCCAATCGGTTTGCAACCGAATTCTCACTCTATGCCGACCTGAGTTCCAATCATCCAATCGGACAAATAATAATCGACACCCGAAATATGTGGCACAAATAAGAGTGGCTCCAGAAATGGAATGGAATGAAATGAAATGGCGTTTAATGTCCTACTGTTCTGCTCCTATACTGGGCTAATGAAGACGGGCATACGCCATACAGTGTGCTATGAGGGAAATTTTGCCCTGGCAGCAGCACTATCGCCTACTCTAATCGACGCCCGAAATATGTGGCACAAATAAGAGTGGCTCCAGAAATGGAATGGAATGAAATGAAATGGCGTTTAATGTCCTACTGTTCTGCTCCTATACTGGGCTAATGAAGACGGGCATACGCCATACAGTGTGCTATGAGGGAAATTTTGCCTGGGCAGGGGCACTATCGCCTACTCTTATATCAAATTCCAACTGCCAGGGGATCTTTTACATGCTTTCCGATATATACACGGTACCTCGGTTTTTCATCTTATCCGAAGGACTAGACAGCTGTCTTTGTCAGGCCCTCCGTCCTGCATCACTGACAAGGGGGAACCACGGCGGAAAATCTGGATGAACTTTCTCGGCCAATGCAGGGATCGAACACCCAAACCTTCAGGCTAGCGAGCCAGCGTCTTACCCACTTAGCCACATGATCCCCGAGTGGCTCCAGACAAAAAGTTTTAATTCATTGTCAGTTCAGTACAAATTCATAGTAGTGAAAAGTAAAATTATTAGATTTATTAGATTTCGGTCACTTTATTTTGCCAACTAGATGAAATAACAGCTTCTGTTTTTATTTTACCTGTCTGCCGGAAAAGTCAGATTGCCCGAAAGTTAGGGGGACAGCTGCCTTCCTGACTTGTACGTCTATGCCCCACTCCCCTTCCCCACCAAGCCCTGATATTTAATTCCCTGTTTGTATCCCATCTATCGATACATAGATTTTTCTTTATTTGTATAACATTTATATTGATTATTGCAGTTATAGAATTATTAGATAATGGTGTTGATCCATGCAATCAGGATGATAAAAGAAGAACAGCTCTACATTTTGCTGCTTCACAGGGTCATGATACAACAGGTACTGTAATGATAATATCCTGTTCAGAGGCTTAAGTCTAATGGTTTAAATACCCAGGTGATCGTTAAATCAGTTGAACTTTGTCGTATAAACCCAAAGGCGGGGCTAATAAACCATTTTAAAAAACCCAGCTCTCTCTACCTGACTTTGAGAAGGCTTTTTTTTTAAAGCTGATTTATCTTGGCCATCTGAATGGGTAGATTGAAAAACACTGGCTTGGACTAGCTTTGGTCACACTCAGTAAGTTATCTTCATGGCAAAATGATGACATGTGCCCATATGTAATTAACTCTTACCTTTAAAGGAGTTAAATCTGTATTCTTTCAACTCAAAATGGACAAAAATGGATCAAAAAGCACATACCGGTATTAATGTAATATAATATGAGTTAATATAAACAGATTTACATTCTTTTTTAAAACTTTTATTCTAAGCTCTAATCAGTTTTGTTTGTCGATATATGTGAGCAGTCCGGATATTTCATATCAGGATTCCATATTTTCATGTTAAGATAACAACATCACTATTGATTGGAATGGTCCAATAATTTGTGTTTGTAATGTTGAAGGGGGTGTGGATGGCCGAATGGTTAGCACGTGCACGCTATATCATAAGGTCTGTCATTGAGTCAACTGGTTTCGATTCCCTTCTTGTACGTGACAAGGAGTAGGGTCGCTTGTCCAACCTCGTGGGTTTTCTCTGGGTCCTCTAGTTTCCTCCCACTGCTAAAGACCCCTACAGGCAAGCAAATTATTGAAATAAAATTGAACCTAGTTTGTGTCGAGTGGATGTTAAACCCCATTTCTCTCTCTCTCTCTCTCTCTCTCTCTCTCTCTTGTAATGTTGAAGACTGGATAATACCAATTTGGAGCTTTACCCCCTTTAACCGACAAGGTCAAAATAGTTTAAACTCGTTTGGCTTATCAAGGTCAGCGTGTTTATATAGAGTACAAATAATTTTTCGACGGCCATTTCAGCTCTTTATTTGTGTTTGGTATCATACTGACAAAGTGACATAGACATGTGAATTGACAAAACAGTATCATAAATAAAATCATGAAATATGAATTTAATTTGCAAAGTTTCTGTCTGTTATCAGAAATGACTTACAGTGAAAATTTTGAAGTAGAAGCCTGAGTACTTACACTACCTTGTCTTAAAAAGCCTGAAGTTTTAAAACTACCTTAGATATAAGCGTCTCACCCAAATTTGATCACAGAGGGGGGGTTGGATGACTGAATGGTTAGTACATGCTCGCTGTATCATAAGGTTTATCATTTAGTCAACTGGCATGGTTTCGATTCCCCAGTTGTACGTGACAAGGTGTAGGGTTTCCTGAACAATCTCATGGGTTTTCTCCGGGTCCTCCAGTTTCCTCCCACTGCACAAGCGAAAAATTAAAAGTAAATGAACCATACATGTATGTTAGTTTCGAAATCACCTGGTTTGTGTAGAGTGGACGTTACACTCCATTTCTCTCTCGCTCTCTTGATCACAGATAGTTTAATACAGATTTTAATTAAATATATCAATTGATCAATCTTTTGGTGAGGTATATTCAGAATATTCACTTACTTTAGGTAGATATTAGGAAGATCTTTCTTGTTTGATATTAAACTTATGAACATTATAGGCTTTTTAAAATGACCCACACTGAAATATACTGTTTAACTAATTATTATTATTTCTTATAGTTAGAATATTATTGGATAAAGGAGCTGATCCCAACATGAGAGATGTGATGGGAAATACACCTTTACATCTTGGTAAGTTTTAATTAATGTACTGGCATATTTCTTCACATATACTCTTCAAAAATGCGACACACAATAGCGCCATACATGTGGGTTCATTGTCAAATTTGACACTTCAAGGAAGGGTTGATGAAAACTGCCATGTGCTGGTTTATCTATCCATGTTTGCTTTCCTATCGGTTCTTGCATAAGATTTACTGTTTAGCCTATCTTTGCTTTAGTGTGTTACATTTAATTTGATCGGGAGACATGTTCATCGACGTCAACATCAACTGACAACACTGCAAGAATTGGCCAAGGCATTGCAAGAGGAGTGGGTCAGATTGCCCCAAATCGTGATTGGACGGTTGATTAGGAGCATACCACGACGAATTGCTGAATGTCTGAGGATTGGTGTAGCAATTACTCATTATTAAGACAAAAAGCAAAAACGTCTATTTTCACTTTTGACGGTGTATCTCCTTGCAAGTGAAATGGGGCTGTCAGATAAGCCACCCATATGAACTGTTTATGTTCATGTGTAGGCAATTGGCCTGTTATTAACATACACTGGTTATCTCTAATAAAAACAGCACGGCATTACCACAGTTTTGTATTGTTTCTGAATATCCCCTACTTTTTTTGAAGAGTATATTTTGACTAGGTAAATCATTGTCGAGGTATTCTCTTAATGTTTTAACAATATCTCTATTATTTTAGTTAAGAAATCACAAGAAATATACAATTTTTATAAACATGAGATAATTGCTTGTATAATAAAGTATTGTCTACATTAAATAACATATATGTTTACTGAAATTTAAGTAAAAACATTGATTATTGTCTCAGAACATTATAGATGTGTTTTGGAAGATTATCCCCAACTGCACTGGATTTTATATTGGCCAAATGATTTGAGTGAGTTCTGCTGTCTGTCTCAGTGACTGGCTTGTCTGTTGTCCATTCCTGATATTTTTCCTCATTCATTTCTTGCTTACATTTTACTTATTACAAAACTTTATAAAACAATAATTTTCTATTTACAGCTGTTTGTACATGTCAGATTCCTGTTGTTACGTTATTGTTAAAAGCAGGTAATACATTATCATTATTATTAAAGATTGTCTCCATAGTGCTACATTAAAATTATAAATCCCTTTTAAAGTCTTACAGATATTAATTTACGGGTACACACTTTTAGCTATTGATGAATAGAAGTTCATTTATTTTTTGTCCCCCGCCTTTCGAAGATGTTCATTAGGTGAATGTCTTGACTGAGTTCAATGATTAACATTTCGAGCTAAAGCTAAGCAAAGCTAAGAAATTTTATTGGTTGGTAATCAGTTTGATTTCTTGATACTTTTGAAAATATACGTCCACATGAAAATGTGGGCATATAAAAAATAAATGTGCGATAAATTAATATGTGTCATCTATTTATTTTGGTTATTCGGCGGGGGACATCAGCCTCACTGTTGGCTTTTTTTAATTATTAAGCATTGACGTTTCATCTGCTTTCTTGATCTATGTTCACACATTTTGGATTTAAAGGGGTTCTCATTAAGTTGAAAGTGATAAAAATTACCAGTATTTTAATTTGAATTTTACAGGTACAAATCTCAAGGCAGCTGATAATCATGGTCGAACTCCTTTATCCTTGGCCAAATCTAGATTAAAACTATTATCTTCAAATCAGTCGTACTCATCTGAACGACTGAAACGTGAAGTGACAGAGGTAACTTACCTAATTATTGTTCAGTTACTGTATGATTAATCCTTTCAAGAATTAACATTGGAACTTACACGTTTAATAAACCAGAGCTTGATTAACTATTAAAATCCATTAGACAGTCATTTCAAGTTTAATGCTTATTAGGATTATTTTTATGGAATATTTCCAAGTTTGATAGGCATAGTAGTTTTGGCTTTCAAGACCGACAAGCCTCTGACCAGAATAAAAATTTAAAATGTCCAAGAATGAAATGGAAAGATAACTCTGCATGTTGGGAGATACAGACCCTCTGAGGCAGGGTGAATGGATGCTGAACTTATGAAAATGACCACAGATTAATACCCTAGTGGTCAGTACTAAGGCATATCAGTCATCAGTGCCATAATGTGCAATCCAATTAATATAATCGACACAAGGTGAATGCCAGGATGGGAGTTCTGATTTATCTCATCTACTGTGATATAATTTTCAAAATTATATCATGGTGTAAGGCTAATGATATACATGTGATGAAAACATATGCTATCCATTTTGTCATTTTGGATTCAGGACCAGTGGCTGTTTATATTAATCACCAGTAGATTTGAAGATTCCAGCTGAAATGTGTTTGATTGACATAACATGTTTAAGGATGGTTTTATTTTATATTGTGTAATATAAAAAAGCTACAAGCACTAATAATTCTTATTTCAGGTTTCAGACATGATGAAAACATATTTAAATTTATCTGGAATGAAAGATGATGCCAGTCAGATAGAAGAATTGTGTGCTCGATTACATATTACATCATCAAGGGATGAATTGGACAATATTAATAATTTATTATCTGATTTTACAAGCATGAACATTCGCCAAGAAGAAAACCCAGGCTGAAATAATATCATTGATTGTTAAATTGTTAAAGATATATTTATTATGTTATGAAGTGGATTAGAAGGGAGCGATTGATTTGGGAATAAATGTAAATATTGAATGTTTTGGAAATACCAAATGAATTAGAACTTATTTGATATGAAATTCATTATACTGAAAGCAATATATAATATTACACACCTCCAGACTATAGCGCCCATAGCAACTAGTTATGTTTAAGGTGGCTATTCCCAAAGTCATAACATTAACCTCCAATAACATCATACTTTGAATTTCATGTGTACAAGGTAAGCAACGGTTGATACTTGGAGATAAACTTTATAGTTTGTGTCGATGTGTATGTCAGATAGAAACCTATTTCTACTCTTTTTATTCGTAATAAAACCTTTGGACTCCGTCCTTAGGATTTTCATTTCGAATAACAACCTGGAAAGCTGTTTCTATCTACTACATAAAGACAGCTTTATGGATAACATTCACAACAAAGTTTATTAACTGCAACATTTGAAGGGGGTACTCTACCCGTTAACACTTGATATACGTTGCAGTTAATAAACTTAGTGAATATTATCCATAAAGCTGTCTGTATTATTGCGAATTTTATTCTTTGGAAATCATTATCTAATAGTGAATTTCAGAACATCACTGCCTAGTATTTGGAGGTAGAATTGAAAATATTGTCCTTGGTACTGGTACTGGTACAGGACATTTTGATATTATTTGTTACATTGACTTTATATACATTTTATATGTAAATTTTTTAAACTTCTAGATATTTTATTCAAAAGTTAGATATAATACAAGAATAATAAATGGTGACATCTTCAACCCTAATTTTATATGCTAGATAAGCTTCTCATTTTTGACTGGCTCCTCTCACAAGTTTCCTAGGAAATGCATGTCTGCGATATTCCGTAGGTGGGAGCAGACGTTAAGCCCAATATCAAGTCAAGTCAAGTCAACCCTAATATATTCAGCTGATGTTTTCGTACTTTCCCCTTATACTACTGGAGTTCTACTGCAAGTAAAAATAACATAATCTGATAAAATTTAACTCCTTTAATACATGTTACAGTTTGCGGATGTGGGGTTTTTAATATCCCAAATAGACTGTTAGTGTACTTCAGAAACAATGCAATATCTCTTCTATAATTAATTTCTGTTTGATAAAACTCAGTTATGAAACAAAAACATGGTTAATGTGAAATTCTTATTGAAGATGTGGCTACAAACTAAAACTGTATACACTGCTTGATAAAGACTAGTGAATCCTGGAATTGTGTCTTGTGTATTTCCCGTTTAATGTCACAAATCTTCACAGAAAGGTATCCTAAATACATGCATATATTGAAAGGTTATCCCTCTGAAAATTGGTTTCGGTTAATCAGTGAAAAATCGAGTGTACAGGATAGGAGTGAGCTTTGGTATCATATCAGAAGTGAATAAGGCCACACTTATTTGAATTTCTGTTCTTCAGGACCACATGTTAAAATTTTTTACTTGGTTTCCAATTTCAAAAGTTTTTATTTTCAAGTTTCGAATATTCATGTTTTGACATTTTAAAGAAAACATTGTTCATGAAACTTGAGTGGATATTTATGGAAGGACAAAAAAATAAATTGGTTTGGCCTAAATCTCTTTTTTTTTATCAGCTTTTATACATAAGGGTTAAATTTATATTACTTTACATTACATTACATTATATACTCTTCAAAAAAAGTAGGGGATATTCAGAAACAATACAAAACTGCAGAAATGCACTGCTATTTTTATTAGAGGTAACCAGTGTATGTTAATAACAGGCCAATTGCCTACACATAAACATATTAACAGTTCATATGGGCGACTTATCTGACTGCTCCATTTCACCCGCAAAGAGATACACTGTCAAAAGTGAAAATGGACGTTTTTGATTTTTGTCTTAATAATGAGTAATTGCTCCACCAGTCCTCAGACATTCAGCAATTTGTCGTGGCATGCTCCTAATCAACCGTCCAATCACTATTTGGGGCAACCTGACCCAGTCCTCTTGCAGTGCCACGGCCAATTCTTGCAGTGTTGTCGGTTGACGTTGACGAACACGTCTCTCGATTAAATGAATCGTAACACACTAAAGCAAAGATATGCTAAACAGTAAATCTTATGCAAAAACTGATAGGAAAGCAAACATGGATAGGATAAACCAGCAACCGGCAGTTTTCATCAACCCTTCCTTGAAGAGTCGAATTTGACAATGAACCCCTCCCACATGTATGGCGCTATTGTGTGTCGCATGTGCAGCTCAGTGGTTCTGTTGGGTCGATAAGTTCTTCATCTGTGAGCATACTCTCAAAGCATGTCAAGTGTCCATGACTATTTATCATATCACAACCTGCATAGGTATTTGCATTTCAATATCCTCTACTTTTTTTGAAGAGTATATATATTGTATGCATATAAATTTGTGTTTTTAAATTTTTAGTTGTACGTGACAAGGAGTAGGGTCGCCTGTCCAACCTTGCGGGTTTATCTGCGTCCTCCAGTTTCCTCCCACTGCTAAAGACCCCTATGCGCAAGTGAATTATTGAAATAAAATTGAACCATATGTTACCGTAGTCCCCATATGACCTAGTTTGTGTCGAGTGGACATTAAAAGTCATTTCTCTATCTTTCTCTCTTAAGCACGCATGTTAGACCATTAGATATAAGTTCAGATGATGAAGACACATTTGTAGTTTAATTGCATTTGCAGAGCTTTAATTTGTAATTCCCTTTTAGCATGAAATAATAAATGTCTATATATATCTGAAAGAAAGTTATAAATGTGAAATATTTTTTATAACGTACAGGTTTTATGTCACTTTATAAATTTGTTATATGTTACCATCTTAAAGAATTTGTTATTAGTATTTGTCAATTGTAAGCTTATGTACACATTTTAAAAAAAAAAAATTTATATCTTTTTTGTTAAATCTTTTTAGTAGTTTATAGTAGTTTTTCTTCATTAACCCTTATTTTTAATTAGAATTGCATAAGTCTTGCAATTACATTTTAAAAAATAATCTACCTGTAGTGTTTATTCTGTGTTGGATATTAAACTGGTATTTACCAAGAAAGCTATGTTTTCATAACCCCCCAGTTCAACTTGTTTCTTTCTGTTATTTAACATACAGAGAGATGAAGAATGGTATATTTATTAGATAGTGCTCCAGAACCACAATCAAATATCTATACTTTGGCTGGTCAAATTGTCATTTGATGTGGAACAAATTGCAACAAAGGTTTTTTTTTCATTTCTATAGACTTATTATGATGTTCTAATTTAGCAAAAGATAACCACAAACAGAGTCAAATTGTGGATTGCGGGTATGCAGGTGGAGTGGGGGGGGGCTTCAAATCTAAAATGACGGTTGTCTACCAAATATCACAAATTTCTTCAACACTATTGGCTTGTGATGGATGTATTACAACTTTAAAACTAAACCGTTTTTAGCTGTAGAAGACATTTTCACTCGTGACATTATATAATTACAAACATGAATAAATATTTCACAGGGTATCTGTATCTGTAGATGACAATCTGTCTTTTTTGAAAATGTTAGTGTGTAGATAGCCAGTGTTTAGATATACTAAACTTTTTCTGTTTTCCACTCTGGAAAGAGTAGCATAAAAATTAAACAATAATAAATTATTAAACAAGCCAGCTTTCTACTTGTACCAACATCTTCACAATGTCCAAAGGTAGGCCTACTGTACACATGTCTGATACCTTGTTGAATACATTCTTGCTCAAAAATAATCTCAGCAATAAGGTTGGTCAATAATCTCAGTTAATAGGATGTATAAATTTGTATTGATTGGTAAGCTTAGCATGTCCCATACCACACCCAATGAATTCATGTGACATCCATAGTCCTACAGTACAAAAATGCAGGCTAATGCAGTTATTGTCAAAGAAGAGATTCTAAAATGTCTTTTTTCACACTCTTTTTTTTGGGGGGGGGGGGTATTTAGGCCTATTACATGCAGCCTGGTCAAATTTAAATTTTGTCAATAAAATCCTCTGGGGTTGGTTTTGAATTGAAAATATAAAAAAAACACCATCTTTCATCTTAAAATTAATTATGCCCTAAATCCATTTATTGTTTCTCAGCATTAAATTTGAATAAGATTTTATGAGCGTTAAATTTATATTTTTATTTCTAACAATCTAATAAAATTAAGGTTTTGAAAAAGTTTAAAATACAAAAATATATATTTGTGTCAGCAATAACAAAAAAACATCATAGTTGCTAGGAAAATACCACAAAAAAATGGAAAATTTATGTATCGTCGCATACATTTCAATATTAAATTGTTTTTTATACGCCCAAATTTTCATGTGGACGTATATTGTCGCCCCTGTCCGTCCGGACATCCGTCTGTTCGTCCACAACTGTTTATGGACAGTCTACAGGTCACAATTCTTATCCGATTTTGACGAAACTTGAAATATTACTTTCGATATTGGCATGTATCGGATCAAAACTGCATGGATTATGGCCCCTGATTGTACGAAAAATCACATTTTTTAGCTTGTGGACCCTCCAGAGGTCACAATTTTGAACCAATTTTGATGAAACTTGAAATTTTGAAATGCATGTTTTAACCCAAAGATTTTGGTTGCTTTCGATATTCGCGCATATTGGATTGTAACTTCCTGAATTATGGCCCCTGATTGTACGAAAAATCGTGTTTTTAGCTTGTTGTCTCTCTAGAGGTCACAATTATTATCTGATTTAAAAAAGCGGTTGAATATATCACGTTTACACCGTAATGTTGGCTGAGTTCGAACTTCGTGAAAATCGGACCAAAACTGCCAGACAAAATGGCCACCCCTCATACGCTAATAGTGTAAACATTTGCTATATCAATGTTGTGGACCCTCAAGAGGTCACAGTTTTGAACCGATTTTGATGAAACTTGGTTTCTTTCGATATTCGCGCATATGGATCGTAACTTCCTGAATTATGGCCCCTTATTGTACGAAAAATCATATTTTTAGCTTGTGGATTCTCTAGAGGTCACACTTTTATCCGATTTTAAAAACTGTTTAAATATATCACCATTTTTATCCGTTTTTGATGAAACTTAAAATATATCTTTTGATATTTAGACCATAACTTTCTGGATTATGGCCCCTGATTGTACGAAAAATCTCATTTGTTTTTAGCTTGTTCTCTATCCATCTCTTGCAAAATGTGGGCGTATCCTGCCTGGCAGCCGCTGGTTATCATATTAATTAACACTCGGTCATGACAGGTAAGTAACGAAAGCCCTAAAAAATGGAGATTTATGTTAAAATGGAGTTACTTCCCCTATCATAGTAGATGTAGCTATATTTACCATTATATGTTGGTTCCAAATAACAACTGACAACCAGACAAAAATAACAAAAATTGTGTGGATGGCGTCAAAGAAATGCATGAGAATTAAAATAATCTATTTTGATATTTCTTCGGGTGGGGTGACAATTGAGAGTTATTTCCCCTTATTTTGTCATGCAGTATGCAGAAGACGTCTAGATTTTGGTAAAATTGGTAAAGGACAAAAGAAAACCTATAAACATGGTCTTGTTTAGGACTGATTTTGAGATAAAATCTTTTTGACTACAGAACTAATTAAATCATGGCATCAACAAGGTAGTTTTAATTCACAGAACTGATATAATTTCTTGTAAATTCACTGTAGGGAGGGTAGATGAATGAATGGAATTTGGAAAATTGATTGTTGTCACCTTCTTCATCTATCTAGTTAGTTGTGAGTGTGACTCAAATTTCAAATGTACAAAAAAACTAAAGAGTAAAACAGTTTCAATTCAAGGTAGTGGGTACCCATACATAGTAAGACATTTATTGCAAAAAGGGATGCTTATTACAATGAAATCGTTAAAAAAAAATTGGCAGTACTAAGTAGGAAGCCGACGACCAAAGCGGAGTGACATTGGTTTGGCTGCTAGATCCCCTTGCCCACCCCCCTGATCCCCCCGCTATAGCTACTTACCTGGCACCCACCAGTGTTTCTACGGGTTTCACATTACCAGAATCATAATCTGTTTTTGCTACATGTGCAGTAATACAGGTAGGCTTAACGTTAATGTGAATGGTTCACAAATTCTGGTATCCCAAAGATACCACATAGTGACATATTAACAATTTTCACTGGGTAAGCACAGCAAGTCAGCTATTATATGAATGTTACTGATCTATTGTCCCCCCCCAGCTGGTGTACACATATAGCGCCCACAATTTTCCTGATAGGCCTACCCCTACTTGTAAAGTCAGCAGATCTTTATCAGGACGATTGAAATATATAAAATATTAACTTTCCTTCCACCATATAACAATAATACTATTATTAGCGAGTTCTTATTGCGCACAATTCCATCATTGTTAATGCTGAAGGCACATTTAGCTCTTCACTTATCTCTAGACAAAAATACAATTAATGTCAATAAGCAGTCAAAAAACTGCTTCTTAAAACAGCAAGAGATTTTAAATTCTTTATAGTCAAGGGTAATGAATTCAATAGGTTTGGTACAGTGTATGAGAAGCATCTATGACAGAAAGACTGTAGTCTATAGTTGGGCACCTCAAGCAAGACGTATCGGGTAGTTCATGTTGGGATCGAAGATTTGTTTGAGGAACATAGTAAACAAATGATAAGCGTTAGCCTAACTAAAGTTCCCTGTGTCCATTTCTCCTCATTTTTCTTATAGAAATTGTGCATATAAAATTTACTCAAGATTAGTTTGAAAATAAACCATTTTTTTCAGAAGTAACAAAAGATTAAGAAGTGAAGTTGATGACGAAGGAGATGAATCTCTACCGATATCAAAAAGAATAAATGGCCTTCATATTCAGTAAGGAAATATGTTGTAACATGTGATTTCTGTGAATATTATAGTTATTACCTAACCTAGAATTATTTTTTTTATATGTATATAATTGTTTCATTTAAAAGCTCCTCAAAAGTTTTTCTTTTCTAACATGATATAGACTTTAGGCTACAAGTCAGAATATATATTATTGTTGGGGTTGGGTGGTCGAATGTGTGATTTAGATCGTACGGTCTAGTGTGTCAAATGGTGTGAGCTTTTTCCAGGTCCTCCGCTTTCCTCCCACTGCTAAAAACCCTTATGCAGAAGTGAATTATTGAAATAAAATTGTGAAATATAGTTTATGCCAAGTGATCATTAAACCCATTTCTGTCATTCTCTGTTGAATTGTAGATGGTCATTGAACACTCTTGTTGACCCTTTAGCACCCGATACATATATACATGTATATCATAGTATATGTAAATATTGAGTACCCCAGTTTCTTGAGGAAAATTAGAGAAAAGTGATCTATCCCTAAACAGCTGGAAACTACTGTTTTAAGAGTTCCTCAAACCGCCAAAGATATTTGAATAGCTCTCTGTATTATAAGACCATTTACTAGTTCTTGTGGTACCAGTGTTAAATGGTTAACAATATATTAGGTGACTATCTCTGCTTATTATTAAAATAAAATTAAAAAAATCCTTAGGGTTTATTCACTAGTTTTGAAACATAAATTTTTTGCAAAAATGCAGAATTTGCTTGAAGTACTATACTTGTAAAAATACAGTGTTGCAAAATGATTCTGAGAATAGTCCATTCCTTTAAACTATGGGAACGAGATGTTAGTTTAGAGGTGGGAGTTGGCAGAAATTGTATTGTTTATTTTTTAGTAGCATCGACTTTAGAGTGCTGGTGTTGGTGGAATGAAATTCACAATTATTATTAGCTTTTTTTTTTTCAGAAATGAAAGAAGTTCATATTTGAATCAAGAAGATCAGTTATCTCCTTTGGTAGGTTAATTTACCTCAAAAGACCCTGCAGTCAGCAACAGGCATATTAAATTAAATATCAAGTAATAGAATTACGAATTATGTTTCTACTTTCTGCATACCATTATCGTATGACTGTCAAATTGTTAATTTTGTCAAATTTGTCAAGAAATACAGTTATAATTCTGGGAACTTGTACATATTTCAGAAAATGTAGTACTTCCACTCTGCAAAATTTTGCAAAATTGAGCTCTGTGACCCCCAAAATTATATAATTGAATGGTCAGTTTATGCAATTCTGTATTAAGACTATATAAAGAACCAGGGTCTAGTTGTTTGAAGGGGATGGAAAACCAAGGTCCAATATACATGTTGCCGTGAATGTAAAAGAACCTTGACAGTTGGAATTTTATATGAGAGTAGGCCATAGCACTGCTGTTCGGGCAAGATAACCCTTATGGCACACTGTTTTCATTAGCCTAGAAAAGTAGAACATTAAACCTCATTTCATTTCTATAAAGATTAATGAACATTATAAATATTTTTTTTCAGATTCATCCTAGTAACATGAATGGTCATACAGAATCTTGGCAGCAACAGGCTTCTCAACAACCAAATCATCACGCACATTTATCTCCCTTGTCTGTGTCTGCTGAACATTCCCGCCATCTTGAAACAAACTTGAACAACAATATTGAAAATAGACAATCTTCTTCAAGTAGTGTTTTATTAAATCCAGATTTACTTGGTTATGAACCTGAATTAACTGTAACAGAAAATCCACATTATTTTCATATTAATGAAGTTTTGTATCGAGCTCATGTTGATAGGGCGACAAGAACAAACCAATTTTTTGATAGCTAGCTTCCTGATACTCAATTGAATAACTTACCTATGTCTTTCATATTATTTGCCAGTTAATGTAATGTTTTAATTGCATTTCTGTATAAAGCCATTAGGGTGGATTTGCTACTTCAGATCTGTCGGCATGTTCCCAGTTATTTTAAGAATGTAAGAACTAAGAAAATAAAAGAAGTCTTCTTTTATGTAGTGATTTATTTTAATCTATATTTGAATAAGCATATACATGTAATTAATTCAAAAAGTGCTAACTAATTAGGTGTAAATATTAAGACTAGCTAAGCCAATAAGACATTCTATGTGATGCAGTAAAGTTAATGTCAGTTGATCTCAGTAATCTTATCTCAGAGCATTGTTAGTCAATCAGAATTATGATTTGTGGGGGTGGGGGCGCAATCCACATAAATTAAAGTTCCTTGCAGTGTTGTTCGAACTGAATAATCTGATCTCGGTGACAATTTAATATGCCAGTGATATTGGGCAACCTCACATTAGCTTTAACAAAACATGCACTATGATCAGATTTACTAGATTATGTACAGTACTTTATAGTATGGATATCAAAAATATAACTTTTAACTCTTTTTATTTCTATCTCTGAGCTTCCATATAAATGTGATATTGGATATACTGTTAATTTATATTACAAACATTGCTTGTGTCTGATCGTATGTATTTGTCATAGTATAACTGTATACGCATGTATTTAATTATGATTTGTCTGAGCAGAGGTTGTGAAGAGGGTGCAGGGTAGTGAGTAACTCATTGTGTTATTTAATGTTTTAAAAGTACATTTGTATGAGACAGCGAGTAGGCCTAGACATGTTTTTATACGTCACATTTTCATGTGGACGTATTATACCGTCGCCCCTGTCTGTCTGTACGTTCGTCCGTCCACACGTTCGTCCGTCCACAATTTGTTTGTAGACACTCTATAGGTCACAATTTTTATCCCATTTTGACGAAACTTGAAATATAGGTCTGTCTCCCAAAGATATCTGTTCCTTTCAATATTGCATGTTTCGGACAATAACTTCATGGATTTTGGCCTTTGATTGTTCGAAAAATCACGTTTTTAGCTTGTGGACACTCTAGAGGCACAATTTTGATCTGATTTTGATGAAACTTGAAATGCATGTTTATAACCCAAAGATCGTGGTTCCTTTTGATATTCGTGCATATCTGATCGTAACTTCCTGAATTATGGCCCCTGATTGTACGAAAAATTACGTTTTTAGCTTGTGGACCCTCTAGAGGTCACAATTATTATCCGCTTTTTAAAAAAAACGTTCGAATATATCACCATTACACCGTATGCAGATAGTGTAAATATATGGTGTATTGAGATTGTGAACCCTCTAGAGGTCATTTGTCTGTGATATCTCCTCGGTGGAAGCGGACGTTAAATGAAGCTATTTCACACTCTCTAAATGTCACAATTTTGATCCGATTTTAATGAATATGGAAATATATGTTTATAACAGAAAGATCTTAGTTCCTTTTGATTTTCATGCTTATCGGATTGTAACTTCCTGAATTATGGCCCTTGATTGTACAAAAAATCAGGTTTTTATCTTGTGGTCCCTTTAGAGTGCACAATTTTTATCCAATTTAAAAAAACGTTTGAATATATCACCGTTACCCCCTAATGACAGTTGAGTGTGAATTTCGTGAAAATCAGACCAAAACTGTTGGACAAAATGGCCGTAAATGTATGGTATATCAAGGTTTTAGACCTTCTAGAGGCCACAATTTTTATCCGATTTTGTTGAAACTTTAAATTTATGTTTATGTCACAAAGATCTTATTTCCTTTTTATGATCGTGCATATCCAAATGTAACTTCCTGGATAATAGCCCTTAATTGTTAAAAAAAAATCACATTTGTGGCTTGTGGACCGGCTAGAAGTCACAATTTGTATTCAATTTTAAAAAACTCTTAAAATATAACACTGTTACACATCCGGACATTATGGCAGCTCCTTGTACACAAATTGTGTAAAAGTGGACCCTCTAGAAGTCACAATTTTTATCTGATTTTGATGAAACTTAACGTGCAGTTCAGACCATAGCTTCCTGGATTATGGCTCCAGATTGTACGAAAAATCCCTTTTTTCTTTTTTTAGTTTGTTCTCTATCCATCCCTTGCAAAATGTGGACGTATCTTGTCTGGCAACTGCTTGTTCCAAAAGATACTTTCATATTTGAAAATATGGAGTATCTCAGACTGAGAGTGTAAATTAAGGGAATAAAAGCTGAATTTGAATGTCTCGGACCTCCTTTTTAGACAATTTCATCCCTAGTTTGGGTTCTTCCAATGGTATTTTTTTGAGACAGGAACTTCATCTCAAGTGCGGCTCAGGAACTTCATCTCAAGTGCGGGTCATCTTTTTGTTGTTCTATTGGGGGCGACCTTCTTCGAAAAAAGCATAAGGCTCAGCCAATGCTAATGCAATCAACATGAAAATGGTTGGGTTTTGTTTTTGCTATCACTCATGGGGTTATGGAAAAACTTTTGGGGTATTTCAAACATTACCAGATATATTAAATAAATTGGGTTCTTTTTGCTGTCCATTATTGGAAACTTTTTATATTTGAAACATTTCTAGAAATATTAAAGAAATGGGTTTGATACAAAATCAATCTTTTATAGTTATAATCTACATCCTTGGGTAAAATAAATTCTCTCATTAATGTTATCAAAAATAAATCTGCTTTTGGAATTACTAAAATAATGGTATAGATTTGGTTGTATTGATCTATTTATTTATGGGTCAGGATAACTGTTTAACCTTTTGTATTAAACTTTATATTTAAATCACAAATAATGAGTTCAGAATGTGTGATTTTTTTCAATTTAGAATAACTACTCTGCTGCAAATAAAAATCCCTCATAACCTGTTGAAATGAAAGTTTTATATGTCTGATGTATGTGCAGTTTGCTTTTTCCTCCTTAACTTTAGTTCCCAAATAAAGAATTCAATCTTCATTTTTGTAAATGCATTATATTATTATGTTTATATTCTGTTTTTGCATTAATAAATTATAAAAATGATTTTCTTTTTATTTTATACGCCCACATGTATATTGTCCTTGATCCTGTCCGTCAACAATTGTTTGTGGACACTCTACAGGTCACAATTCCTATCCGATTTTGACAAAACTTGAAATATAGGTTTATCTCCAAAAGATCTCAGTTCCGTTCGATATTCGCATGTATCGGATCGAAATTTCAGGAATTATGGCCCCTGATTGTACAAAAAATCACATTTTTAGCTTGTGGTTCCTCTAGAGGTCACAATTATTATCCGATTAAAAAAAAAAACGTTTGAATATATCACGGTAATTACCCCATAATGATGGTTGAGTTTGAATTTCGTGAAAATCGAACTGAAACTGCCCAACAAAATGGCCGCTCACAGCACTCAAATTATGCAATACGAACGTTGTGGACCCTATAGAGGTCACAATTTTTGTCCGATTTTGATGAAACTTAAAATATAACTTTATATCCCAAAGATCTCAGTTCCTTTTGATATTCGCACATTTCAGACCATACCTTATTTGATTATAGCCCCTGATTGTACAAAAAATCAGGGTTTTTTGGGGGGCTTGTTCTTTATCTCTTGCAAAATGTGGGCGTATCTTGCCTGGCAGCTGCTGGTTTTGAATATTCAATGAAAAAATACATGTGAATCTTATAGTCCTGTTTGTCTCTCCTAAAAGGAGCTGCGGTGGCTCAGTGAGTAAGACGGTGGCTCGCTAACCTGGAGGTCCTGTGTTCAATCCCTGTGATGACAGAGAAAGTTTGTGATTTTCCAGTCTGCTTCCCCCTACTCAGTGGTGCAGGATGGAGGGCCTGGCAAAGGAAAACATAGTCGTTCAGATGGGACAAAAACTGAGGTCCTGTGTACACATTAGTGTGCATGTAAAAGAACACTTGGATAGTTGAAATTCAATATAAAAGTAGGCCGTAGCACCACTGTCTAGGCAAAATTTCCGGCCTTCATTTCATTTTCTCTCCTAAAAAGTCAAATTAGAAGAGATCTTTTTTAAGCGAATTGCTGATTTTAGTTCAGGAAGCCAAGTGACAAAAAAATCACTAACTACTATAAAATGATTGTTATATTGTGATGGCACCAGTGATGCAGCCCTGTGCCATAAAGAGAGTTTGGCCAACTCCCATGATCACCATTTTTATTATTCAATCTTTATGGTTAATAGGTCAACTTTAAAACAAAACAATTATAACAATGAAAACAAATGGAATAACAGTTTTGTGTACCATCTACCATCAGAGGTATGAAATGTGTAAGAATCTGTGATAAGACTGCTCTCTGACACATTAATAAATATGCCATGTGTTAACCAGCACTACAGTGGTATATTACATTTATGATAGCCTTAGGTGTAGTGGCCTAATTTCAAGACAATAACTAAGAGTTATCCCCCTTTAGTTTTCAGGAATTTGGTATCCTGTTTTTGTGAATATAAGGTTTAAGCTTTCTCTCCTTTAAATAGAGCACTAAAAGATGGAAAGGTGGGTTGGGCGTGTTGCCTTGGTAACTGGTGCATCGGAGGGAATTGGTGCTGCCATAGCAAGAGATTTAGTTTGTCATGGAATGAAGGTTGTTGGTTGTGCAAGAAATAAAGACAAGATTCAGGTAACTTTTTGATGGGTCTTCATATACTTTCTTTAATATTTTTTTCAAAAGAAATTACATATTATAAGGTCCATGATAGAACACAATAGCACTGTTTTTTTGTGAATTACTCCTATGTCAAACCCTCATAAAACTAAAAGTAGGGTACCGGTACTGAAAGCACTATCTTTCTTGAATTACTCCTAGGCTATGTCAAACCCTATTAAAACTAAAAGTTGACTTTATCATACATTATGCTTTTTTTGTTATTTTAATAACACTACATGTAAATGTTTGATTTTGAATTTCAGAAGTTAAGTGATGAGTTAAAGAATGAGAAAGGATCATTAACTGCTATAAGATGTGATTTAAGTAAAGAAGAAGATATTATAAATATGTTTAAAACTATTACAAGTAATGAAAGTCTTGGTGGTGTAGATGTCTGTATAAATAATGCTGGTCTCGCTCATAATGCACCAATTTTATCGGGCAAAACTCAAGAATGGAGAGAAATGCTTGATGTAAGTATGCTTATCGGTCACACATCTTTATGGTTTTTAAAATATAATTCCCTCTTTTACACGCTTTCCCATTTAACACAAAATGAAAAGAAATGTTAATAATTTGAAAACTAGAACAAAATTAGATTAATATTAAAGATTAATATTAAATTGTTTCAATGGCAGATCACAATTCTATGGAATTACTGACTGACTTGTGACCTGTGTAAATTAATGTTGAAAGAAATGGTGGCACAGATAGTCAAGTCAATCAAGTGGAGTTAATTGTAAGAAGCCAAATTGCGGACAATAGACATTTTCAATAAGAATTTTGTCAGTGATTTAGCAAAGATAACAAAATATTGTTTAAAGGCACTCTTCATGATGAATTCATCTAATTTTAAAAAAGTGTGGTTTTCTAAACTATGCATTTGATTCTGTACATTTTATTTTATTATAATAGGTGAATGTGATGGCAGTAACTATTTGTACAAGAGAAGCATTTCAGTCAATGAAAGAAAAAAATGTAGATGATGGTCATATTATATTTATAAGCAGGTATCATATTAGACTATATTTAACATGCACAATATGAACAAATGCCAGTATTATTTATTTGTTGATTGTTTTGGTAATTTTAATCTCTTAAAATATTCACAATGTGATCGCAAAGTAAGTGAATATTTTAAAATTTAAACTTACTTCATTGCAGTTTTAATTTTGATTTCACCTACAGCAGGCCTACACAAAAATATTTTGTATCCTTCAATCTAATAACTAAAATCGAAACATATTGATAAGTTGATAAATATAAATAAATGTCTAGAAAACATATATATAAACATTACTCAAATAACAAAAAATATTATAATACAGTAATCACAATAATTATATTGAGTAAATTAGAGCCCCCAATTCTGCCAATTGCATCCAAACTGGAAATCAGTATGTATAGAATGACTAGCCCAACACAGTATACAAAGATCTTTTTTGATAGATTTATTTATGTATGGATCATTTTGACAATTTATAATCTCTAAAAACCATTCACGATTTGATCCTAAAGTAAGTGAATTTAAGCCCACTATAAGTTATTGCATTTAGAACATCGCCCAACAGATGTTTGGAAAATCTTATTAAACTTTAAACTTTATTCAATGCAGTTTTTATTTTGATTGGCCAACACTATATGAAGATCTATTTCTTTATCAAATCTCAGTTTTGTAATTGGTTAAAATCATTCTTGCCCAAGCCAAAGCATCTGTTCATTGGTTAGATGAAAGATCAGGTCAAGTCAATTGAAGTCAAACTTCTTGAAGATTTTGATAGACCTCAGCATTTGCACTAGGATTTTCTAGAAGGGAAGTGAGTGGGGGAGAGGAACGAAGCCACCCCCAGGCAATTTTCAAAAATCACATTGAAATACTGGATAATACTGGGCACTGGCATCAATAAGTGAGGTGGAAAATTGGCTAGGGTATGTCCAGCTTCAAATGAAAAGTACATACATTTTTTTGAAATTTTTGACATGCCACCAACCAATCTAACGCCACCACTGGACTTTAATGTAGTGGAAATGTAAAAGACCTAAAAAAAATGAAAGTAAGGTCTTTTATTAAATTTTGACTGAACTATGGAGAATTGATCTGTTTCAGTATGTCAGGTTATAGAATTGCTAATGAAGCTTTTACTCATTTCTATGCTGTAACCAAACACAGTGTCCGTGCAATAGTTGAAAGTACAAGACAAGAATTAAGGGAACTTAAATCGCATATTAGAGTTACAGTAAGTTTTATACAATTACGTTGGGGGCGGGGGAGGAGGGAAGTGGCATGGTTTCAATCCCAAACTTGACTGTGACAAGGAGAACCTAGTGAATTATTGAAATAAAATTGTATCACATGTCAGTCCCGAAATTGTGTCGAATGGACATTAAACCATATGTCTATCTCTCATATTTCTATTCCTTCCCATTCTTGGATCAACTAATCTCTTACCAGTCACCACTGCTTCAGTCACCACCACCCAATACCATATTCTTCTTATATTAATGATAATTTATGTTTTAAGGGAATAAGTCCAGGAAATGTAGATACTGATTTTGCCGTTAAAATGATGAAGGATGAAACGCAAGGAAAAGATAATTTTAGGGTAAGTAATGGTTATTTATGAATTTATAAACAATATGTGAGAAGTGTTAGCAACACAGAATAGTTATTAGATTGTTTGTTTTTCTAGACTTGAAAAGCAGATATTCTTGCTTGTTGGTTAATATTGCATTTTTGTGAGATAAAAGGGGACCGCGGAGGCTCAGTGATAATGGCACTGGCCCACAAACCCGGAGGCCTTGGTGTTGGCTGAGAAAGTTCCTCGTAATTTTCCGGTGTGGTTTAGCTTTGTCAGCACTGGGCAAGAAATGGTGTCTTGTCGATCGGTTAGCACAAAGAAACGAGACCCTGTGTAGGCCTACATACTGGCTTTCCCTTAAAAGAACCCTTGACAGTTGAAAAAATTTGAAATACAAATTAACGTCACAGTCCTGGCAAATTTCCCTCATAGCACACTGCATGACATATGCATGTCTTCATTATCCCAGTCAGTCCAGAAAATAGTCATTTCATTTTAATGAGATATTAAATAAAAATTGGTTTGTTAATTTTTCTTTTCTAGCGTATGGATGCGAAAGATATATCCAGTGCAGTCATTTATACCTTAAAGGCACCAGCACATGTTGAGGTAAATCTTTTCCCCTGCCTCCTTATAGTTTAATTGTTTCAAAGGGTTATTTAGTTTATGAGTATTGATGAGTCACTTATGTCCAATACACAAGGGGTCAGTCTGGAGAAACCCCATTGAAAATTGTTTTGTACATTAAAATTTCCATGTAGTCATTGTGAACCCCATGCAAACCTTGTAATCAACTACAGATCAGTGTTTTTTCCAGCTTGGATATGTTGCCTAGTCTTCATAAATGTTCTACAGGCTACTGTTTTTAACATTCTTATTGACACTTGCATTGATGGTTTCAAAGGGGAAGAAAACCCTATTTTGGTCAGATTTTAGTTGACCCAACAAGTCAAATAAACTGTCTGGTCAACTTAGCTACAGGTAGATCTTTTTTCGTTGCCTGGAAACTTTTTTTTTATGCCTGTTTTACCATTGATTGTTTATGTACAGTTTTTTGGGACAATATTAGAGAACTCAGTTCTTGTTTGTAAGTTAATAGACTAATATTTTTTTTGTCCCCCGCCTTTCGAAGAAAGCAGGGGACTATTAAAATGGGTTCGTCCGTCTGTCTGTCTGTCTGTCTGTCCGTCTGTCTGTCCTTCTGTCTGTCCGTCTGTCTGTCCGTCACACTTTTTGGGACACAATAACTCTCTTCCTAATTGAGCTAGAATGTTCAAACTTGGTGTATGTGTTTATTAGGTCAATGCCTTGATGGAGTTCGAAGATGAGCATTTTCCGCTTAGGGTAAGCAGAGATAAGCAATTTGATTGGTTGATGCTTTGGGACACGATAACTCTCTTCCTAATTGGGCTAGAATGTTTAAACTTGGTGTATGTGTTGATTAGGTCAATGCCTTGATGGAGTTCGAAGATGAGCATTTTCCGCTTAGGGTAAGCAGAGATAAGCAATTTGATTGGTTGATGCTTTGGGACACGATAACTTTTGATTGAGCTAGAATGTTCAAACTTGGTGTATGTGTTTATTAGGTCAATGCCTTGATGGAGTTCGAAGATGAGCATTTTCCGCTTAGGGTAAGCAGAGATAAGCAATTTGATTGGTTGATACTTTGGGGCACGATAACTCTCTTCCTAATTGGGCTAGAATGTTCAAACTTGGTGTATGTGTTGATTAGGTCAATGCCTTGATGGAGTTCGAAGATGAGCATTTTCCGCTTAGGGTAAGCAGAGATAAGCAATTTGATTGGTTGATGCTTTGGGACACGATAACTTTAGTTCTAATTAAGTGAGATTGATGAAACTTGGTGTATAGTTTCATTACAGTAATACCTTGACTAAGTTTCATAATGAGCATTTTCTGCTCAGGGTAAGCAGAGCGATACGCAATTTGATTGGTCGAGACTTTGGAAAACAATAACTCTCCTACTTTGATTGTCCCCCGCCTTTCGAAGAAAGCAGGGAACTATTAAAATGGGTTCGTCCGTCTGTCTGTTTGTCTGTCTGTCCGTTCCGCTTATGGTAAGCAGAAAAAACAAATTGAAAAAGAAACTATTATAAATTAATTAAATATGTAGTATGCAATAATGAATTGACATTTAATGACAGAAAGAAAACAGTGAACTTTGCACAACTTGCAGCAAGATGGAAAATAGACCCGTTGATACAACCAAACTCTAGATCTGTAGGCATAGAGCATGTTTTCCCCTTAATATGCTATAATTATTCCATCAAAAACATTGTATGCTTAGACTATAAGTAAAGATATACTGTTTGATTGTTCAATACTTTGTAAAAGATAATTTGTGATAAATTTATATGTGTTCTCTAATTATTTTCCTATTTCGGCGGGGGACATCAGCCTCACTGTTGGCTTGTTTAATATATTTTTCTTTTCTTTTATAGATTAATGATGTGTTAATGAGACCAACAGAACAGATTTATTAAAACTGTAGATAAATTGTAAATAATAATAAAATATGTGTGCATAATCATATATAGTCTTTTTATTTGAACATATTTTCAAGTGGATGTATATTGTCGTTGCCCCTGTCCGTTGTGGACCCTCTAGAGGTCAGAATATTTATCCGGTTTGGATAATACTTAAAATATATCTTTATATCCTAGAGATTTCGGTTCCTTTTGATATTCGCGCATATTGGACCGTCACTTCCTGGAATATGGCCGCTGATTGTACAAAAAATCATATTTTTTTATTAGCTCGTTCTCTGTCTATCTATTGCAAAATGTGGGTGTATCTTTCATGGCAACCACTTTTTCAGATATACATTCAAATGTTTGAATTGATCGATTTTAATCATTTTGGACCAATATCCATTTTGATCAGATTACTTTTTATTTTAGGTCTTTATTGTCCCCCGCCTTTCGAAGAAAGCAGGGGACTATTAAAATGGGTTCGTCCGTCCGTCTGTCTGTCTGTCTGTCTGTCTGTCCGTCTGTCTGTCCGTCACACTTTTTGGGACACAATAACTCTCTTCCTAATTGAGCTAGAATGTTCAAACTTGGTGTATGTGTTTATTAGGTCAATGCCTTGATGGAGTTCGAAGATGAGCATTTTCCGCTTAGGGTAAGCAGAGATAAGCAATTTGATTGGTTGATGCTTTGGGACACGATAACTCTCTTCCTAATTGGGCTAGAATGTTCAAACTGGGTGTATGTGTTGATTAGGTCAATGCCTTGATGGAGTTCGAAGATGAGCATTTTCCGCTTAGGGTAAGCAGAGATAAGCAATTTGATTGGTTGATGCTTTGGGACACGATAACTTTTAATTGAGCTAGAATGTTCAAACTTGGTGTATGTGTTTATTAGGTCAATGCCTTGATGGAGTTCGAAGATGAGCATTTTCCGCTTAGGGTAAGCAGAGATAAGCAATTTGATTGGTTGATACTTTGGGGCACGATAACTCTCTTCCTAATTGAGCTAGAATGTTCAAACTTGGTGTATGTGTTGATTAGGTCAATGCCTTGATGGAGTTCGAAGATGAGCATTTTCCGCTTAGGGTAAGCAGAGATAAGCAATTTGATTGGTTGATGCTTTGGGACACGATAACTTTAGTTCTAATTAAGTGAGATTGATGAAACTTGGTGTATAGATTTATTATATGAATACCTTAACTAAGTTCGATAATGAACATTTTTTGCTGAGGGTAAGCAGAGTGATAAGCAATTTGATTGGTAGAAACTTTGGAACACAATAACTCTCCTTCTAATTGAGGTAGAATGTTCAAACTTGGCATAGGTGTCTATTAGGTGAATGTTTAAACTTGATGTATATGTAGATGTTCATTAGGTGAATGTCTTGACTGAGTTCAATAATTAACATTTCGAGCTGAAGCTAAGCAGAGCTAATCGATTTCATTTGTCGATGGTTTGGGACAAGATAATCTTGATTCTATCTGATAGAGAGTGATGAAACTTAGTGAAAAAAATAAATGTGCGATTAATTAATATGTGTCATCTATTTATTTTGCAATTTCGGCAGGGGACATCAGCCTCACTGTTGGCTTGTTGAAATCTAAATCATTTTAGATAGATAACAATATTTTAGATGTAGCGAAGTTTTTGAAATTGTTAATCCAGGAGGTTAGGTGTGTAACTGAAAATTTCGTTGAATTGTTTGTAGAAGAAAAACAAAAACCAACCGAATCTAACTAGAGTGCAAATAGCTTTATATTTATCTTGGGTGTTTTTTAATTTAAACATCCTCATATTTTAAAAAAAAATATAAAAATTTAGAAATTTAAATTTATCCAGTCCATCAAGAAATAACTTTTCCATTAGACTTACACCATATTGTTCTTTGTTGAAATTAATTTCTTTAATATTTTTAAGATATGTGATCATGAGTAGAGAAAAATATAAATGTGATAATACCTGATTAATGAATAAGGGCTAGGACAGAAATATGGTCATATAAATCAGTTATATAATGTAGATATATTTTATTTATAATCTTGTAATCAAAATTAAAGAGACTTCATTACCGGTAGAAAATGTTAATAATGGATGCACTGATAGGCCTTATAAATTCTAGACTTTGATATGTTGTTATTTCCATTTCTTTTTATCTATGCCCTACAGTAATATCTAGCACTAAGTTTTACGTTTTTGTATCTCCATCTTGGATTGGATTTCAAAAAAGATTATTTGTTGGCAATTTTCCACTGCAGATAAATAATTATTGGTCTGCGATAACTTATAAAGTACAACGGATTCTCACTAACAACCTATTGCCGACAAACCATCTAGGTTGCTAGATATATATTTCAAAATGTAATCTTAGATAGCAGTGTTTGTTTTGATCAACAACTATACTTCTTTTACATGTACGCCAGCATATTCCTGAAGCAATGGCCCGAGAAATCTCTCTCTGCCAATTGCTGGATTGGCTTCTGATACTTAAGCTTTTGAGGGAGTGTGTCTATTCTTCCCATTCAATCAAATCTATCCCAAGTACAGCAACATGACAGTCCTTCGTTTAATCTGGGTCTTCCCTAAAACTTTGGACAGTGATTTAAGGTATTAAAAACGGGGAAAGTATGTTCGTCTCCAAACAGTATTGTTTACATTGTTTTCCGATTTGATAGCCTCGTTTGTCACACAATTAGTTTTTCTGCAATATTCTGCTATGCACTGGTTAACTGGGCATAAAAAAATTGTGAGTCATGATGTAAAGTTATGTAAACATATTTGGTCCAATTTGGAGCTCTTTTTAAGTGTAATGCTTTTGTAACGCAGTTAACTATTGGTTGTTGATCGGACCATTGACCAGTCATAATTTGGAACAGAAATTTGCTTTCGTTAAAGCAGTGTTTAGTGGGATTAGGTATGGTACGCCAGTGTGTACACAAGATCTCTGTTTTCTGTCCCATCCAAACGATTAGACACTGTTTCTTGCTAGGCCCTCTGTTCTGCACCAATGACAAAGGGCAGCCATACTGGAAATCTTGAGGCATGCTCTCGACCAACAACGGGAGTGAACAAGGAGACCTCCTGGTTAACGAGTCAGTGCCTTACTCATTGCGCCACCGAGGCTCGCCCAATACAGAGACTCGAGGTATGTGTCATTTTATATAGAAACTGTTTTATTTCTGAAAACAAATTTTATCTACATAGTTTATTACAGTAGGGGTGGGGAGTGGCCAAATGGTCTAACATGTCCACTTTAGATCATAAGGTTTGTTATTGATTCAAGTGGCATGGCTTCGATACCTCCTCCTGTTTCCTCCAAGTGTTACAGACCCCAACGCGCAAGTAAATTTACTTAATTAAACTTGTGCCTTATTAGTTTGTGGTGTTGAGTGGACAGTAACCCCATCTATCTCTCTCCCCCTGTAACCAGTTCCAAGGCACTAATTGACAGTCACATTTTAATACTTAGATATTTAGCTTTACAGTTGGGTGAGGGGGGTTGGATGGCCGAATGGTTAGCACGTGCGCGTTGTATCATGAGGCCTGTCATTGAGTCACAAGGAGTAGGGTTGCCTGACCAACCTCCTGGGTTTTCTCTACGGGTCCTCCGGTTTCCTCCCACTGCTAAAGACCCCTATGCGCAAGCGAATTATTAATATAAAATTAAACCATATGTTAGTCCCGAAATGACCTAGTCTGTGTCGAGTGGATGTCAAACCCCATTTCTCTCTCTCTCACAGTTGGGCGAAAGAACTATTCCTTTTTACAACTTTCATAATTATACAAATTTACATTATGACAATTTTTGTCTATAAAGTTTATTACATTAGTGGTGTAGCCACTTTAAATCTTTAAGGGTCAGTTGACAGATGAGCAAATGATAACAATATATGACCTGTTTATATAAGTATATGTATTGACCTATAGGCCTATATCTTTTATCACACTTTGTTGCCAGGTATTATCATTTAGATAAACCACAGGTATGTATAAATGTTACCTATGAATTACAAATATTAATTTAATGCCTTTATTTAAAGAAGTATTCAAGATAAAAAGGGACTGTCCCAGGTATATTTTATTGAATATAACTGGTTATTTAACCATTTAGAGATCTTGTAAATATTGACTACCCCAGTTCCTTGCAGAAAAGTGATATATTAATACCAGTACACCCTTGGACAGACCCAAACAGTCCAAATGTGAAAGATAATTTAGAATTGTTCTGTGCAAATATTTGAAAGCCAGATTCTTGTTTAGCTGTGGTTAGATCCCCAAATGCCACACTGTAAATGCCTGGATAACCATGCCTATTCCAGTTGCAGTTTCAGTGGAACATATATATATATATATATATATATATATATATATATGATTACTGCAATTATAAAGTCACTCATACAAAAGAACACTTATTCTTAAATGGGTTACATAACACCCCTATCTAACAGCTCAGTATTTGGAGCTTCAGCTTACAGAAAAGGTGATTTTCAGACATAAACCCACTTTTATAAACAAACACCTTGTGAAATCTGTGATGGCTCTTTTAAAAGTCAATGAAATCTTTGTTGAATGAAAAGATGTTCGAATAAATGATATTACCTTTCAGTTAGACCTTTAACTTCAGAACTTTCCTTGTTCTCTACTTCTAACAGAAGAAAGAAAACTTATTGCAACAAAGTTTTCCTCCATATTCATAGACTTGCTGGATTGATAGTTTTTAAATTTATACCCTGGAATATTGTGAATAATGACCCTGACAATGATCTTTGACATCTATTCATTGGGATACAATAAGACTTAAAATTTACCAAAACAATAGTAATTTTGTGAAAAAATTAGGGCATGGTGCTATTGATGGGCTCTTAATTACATTTGCATGTAGACCTCACTTTCTCTCACTCTCTCTCTTTCTCTCTCTCCTCCAAAAAATGGTCCTGCCTTATCCCATCCCATGGGTACATATGCATTTTGATGTAACCTTTAGTATTACCAAATCCTTAATCATGAGTTTCATCTGACTTTAACAGTACTAATGCCAATAGCCAGATATATTTAAGAGTTA